ACTCAATGATTTAGGTTTCTATTATACGAAGCCCGGTTATTATGAAGACTAATGATCAAGTGAAGTTTTCTAGATGCAGTTTTATTATTATTATTTTTTTGTTCATGTCCACCGATGAGCTCTTACTATGTCCATTGATAATTGAAATGAAAATTTGCTTGGTTTCATTCTTGCATGAAATTTGGACACATGTTAATTTTACGTCTTCTCCCTATTTAGAAATTTTCATAGACATTAGATAAAGCATCAAATTTTGATTTATGTGAAGAAGCAATGACTTTTACCTTGTAAAATGGGTAGTTTATGGTGAATTATGTTTTAACAGAGATTCATTGATTATATGACAGGCTAATGCAGCATTTCCAGCAGCCAACTGTTGTTTCCATTACCAGTAATGATTTCCAGCAGCACGCATCATTTGTAGCAGCACCCACTTTTTGCGAATGTTATGTTCTAGTGTTTTACTGGTGATTAAGATCTGAGCTGGACTGGTTATTAGGTGCACGATTTTGCAAACATTCGTAACTGAAGGATACTTGAAGCACTTTGTTGGAACAAAAAGATTAGAAAGCAACGTGTAAAAAAGTACATTGCAGCTAATCACATTTCGAATGGTTGGGTAATATTAAAGGGTACACTAACATTTGAACTACTCATAATTTCACACACAAAAGAAAATTTGATTGCAAAGCATTTTATGTGCTCCCTCTTAGCAATACCACGATCTCCCCAATCAACTGAACAACGGTAGCCACAATCACTAGGTCGTATTGGTCAGCTTCTTCTTAGCAGGTCTCACGTGCTTATGGTCACTCATGTCCCCAGTGATATAGACAAAATAAATATTCAGCAATATTTGGAATTTTATTATATATACATAAACCATAAACCATTCACTACACAATGTATAGCACATGGTATTTTACTTATGACTCACGTGTCATGATAATGGGGCTTTACTGATTCCCAACGTGCTGTGATATTGACTGCTTATTGAATAATATTTCCATATTTGCAAAATATAATGTTAGACAGAAGGAACACATGATGACTTGCAAGACATAGTCCCAATAATTATATATGAAGCAAATGAAACTGATATTTGTATTATTTTATATTAGATAATGACATTAAGGGAATATAGTTCTAATTTGTGCAATACCACGATCACCCCCAACCAACAGAACAGCTGTAGCCGCAATCACTTAGTCGTATCGGTCGGCTTCTTCCGAGCAGCTTTGACGTGCTTATGCTCATTCATGTCACCCCCATCGTCTAGTATCTCTCTCACAGCATCAGGGGACACATAGTCCCAATTATAACTTGTATGAGTAGTTGCCGCGAATGCTCGGAATTTTTCGAATCCTTCGTTGAATGCCAACTCCAGTTCACTGTGGTGCTCTTCGCATCGCATATGGTTCATCAAACAACCTTTAATTTCATCATTCATTACTGCATCCAACTCCTCAGCTTTCAGCTTCCTTTTATGACTCAGCTTCAAGTACTTGTTCTTTTGGGAGAACGCTTTGTTCACTCTAATGTTAAGATCAGCCAAAATGGCCTCGTCTTCAACACATTTCTCGTGCCATGAATTGATCAGTCTGGAATTATAATCCAGCTTGGTACTGACTGCATCTATTGCCTCTAATGGATCATTGGAGTCCCCCTCACTCCCAAATGATGTTGAAAATGGAAGGGGTCGGCGAGTACAACGTGGAAACAGAACCTGCAACTCCAATTTTTCATCTTCGATTGTGTTGTTGGCGCCCGAAGAGGTTGACATGCTTGAATAATCCTATTTGTTTTAGAGGATGAGGATTGCAGATGCAATTTCGTTTGAGAAATGGAACATAACTTTATAGACCAACATACCAAAGCTTGCGTGTAGTCAACATATCTACTTTATTTCAATTTTAAAAAAAGAGGTGTCAGGTTTTGCTTTTCAAGCATGTCAACCTCACACTCTCCTTACACCACTGTTAGTGGTTGAAAGAAACTCAATGGAAGTGACATCTAGTTAATGAACCCAACCAAACTAAACAAACTAGTTAGGATTAAACTTAGATTGTATGAGACCTTTTTTCATTTATACATTGTCAACCAAATGTTTTTTTTGGCGGGAACCCTTTTTTATTGGTATTACTATCACCCCCTTCATAAAAATTCTCCCTCCACAAAAAACTCACACCTCCACCGAATCTGTCTCCATCTACTGAAACTCTCTCCCCCCATTGAATGGATTTACTAACCAAGTTTGATGTGAGCATAATAAACACCCCTCCAAACAAAGACCGCCTTCGAAACGCAAGTGAGTCACCAGACAAGCAATGTCACTTTCCTAGACAGAATGACCATTTTGTTGGAAGTTTTGAGTCTGAAAGAGTTCTTGCTTTCTGAAAGGAGAGGCATCTTCAACTTGGTGATGAAATCCAAAGGGCAAGGGCACGTTTGGAATTTGTTGAAGGCCAAATTGAAGATGACAAAAGGCAGGCCAATCTGGATAGGGCGAAGTTGCAGCGCATGAAGCGTAGACACAAACGACTTCGGAGTGTAGCTGTTCAAAAATACAAGAACTCATCTAATGCAATGGAGTCAAAGAAGCGTGTGATGCAAGCTGGATTCGACTACTTCCGGTCCTATGCAAAACTCGTCGTACCCGGGTTTGATTGGTCATCTATTACCGTTTCCGACGTTAACAAATATACTCAGCAAGGGAAGTAACCATTTTGGTTATCGTGTTTGAGTAGAGGCAAATCAGAGGAACTGGAATTTTCGTTAAACTCTGCTTCAAACCTATTTTGATGCTTACTACTATAGAAGATTTCAACCTTAATATTTTGATGTCTTTAATTACGATAACACGATGCAAAGTGCCCATCTACTTCAGTCATATGTTGCTGCCATGTCCATTTTTTTGTGATCACGTATCAAATTTGGACATGGTTGCATCATATGCAATGTTGCCTTTATGTATTATATGTTAGGGTAAGGTTTATGGAAAAGCATGTGTGAGTGGTTTTGTGACAAGGTTATGGCATTATTTTGTACCAGTTATATATTATTTTTTGTACTGGTTCATCTCCTACTATTGCTTTATTTCTTTATATTATATGTTTATGCGATTGGACATGATAGAAAATATATTACTGATTCCCAATGCGGCGTCATAAGGACAACTTATTGAATACCGCCGACGTGTTGAAAACTCTAGGTGCAGGTGCATATGGACAACTTATTGACTATCTCTGACGTCTTCAAAACTCTAGGCGCATGCGCAGTTCCAATGATGGCTTCGAAGTAATGGTGCATTTATTATATATGTACATTATTATAACCAAAACAGATAATTTTACATCCTTATATATGAAAGGAAACTAATGCTTGTATTAGTACAACTTATATAACGAATATTAAGGAAATATACTTGTTAAAGTGACAAACATATATACTTAGGGTTAAGAGGAAAGTGAGTTATGTAAACAATTTTTGAATTTTTAATTGCGAAATGGATGATTTATGGGTTCCATAGTTTTATAACGTCATAAGGAGGCCGGAGTATTTGTCGGGGCATTTTTAGGATTTTTCTACTATTTATTGCATTTTTTCAAAGATTTTTGCACTAAAAAAGCCAAAATAATTGCCAAATGGACACATGGCGCGATCTCAGCCCCTCACCTTTCACCCCTTGATAAGTGTGCGTCAGTCAACATGGCCACATCCTTACCTTTTACCCTAAATTATTATTTTATGACCTTTTCTTAGAAAATTCATAACTAAATACACAAAAATCAGAAAAATGATCCGAAAATTGCTACGAACTCATTGAGACTCCATCTCCCTTTCTGAATTCCCCGATTAGTGGTTACGCATTTTAAAAAACAATTCCAAACATTAACGGGAGATGCTTGTTGAAGTAGGTTATTGAAGTTAAAGTTAACAAACATATATACTTAGGGTTAAGAGGAAAGTGAGTTATGTAAATTATTTTTGAATTTTTAATTGCGAAATGGATGATTTATGGGTTCCCCTCGTTTTATAACGTCACAAGGAGGCCGGAGTATTTTTCGGGGCATTTTTAGGATTTTTCTACTATTTATTGCATTTTTTCAAAGATTTTTGCACTAAAAAAGCCAAAATAATTGCCAAATGGACACCTGGCGCGATCTCAGCCCCTCACCTTTCACCCCTTGACAAGTGTGCGTCAGTCAACATGGCCACATCCTTACCTTTTACCCTAAATTATTATTTTATGACTTTTTCTTAGAAAATTCATAACTAAATACACAAAAATCACAATAATGTTCCGAAAATTGCTACCAGCTCATTGAGACTTCATCTTCCTCCTGAATTCCCTGTTTCATGGTTACGCTACATTAGTATTTTATTATTATTTATCCAAAATTATTTTTATTATTATTGTTATATTACTTTTTAGCTTGTACATTTGTTAATTATATTTACTCCAAATTTTTATTTTTATTTTTATTTTCCGTGTGAATAGACCATTTCTGGTGCTAATCAGTTTCTCTCTTCTTCAATTTGTTAATGTTTTTTCTTTTTTAGGTTTAAGGGATGTTTTCAAACATAAAATGGAAATATACAAGCCATCCATTCTACAACATCAGGAAATAATTATTCAAAGTCTTTCACTGTTCAAGTTTTGCTTAAGAAACGTGTAACCCAATCATTTGGGATATGCTAAGTGGGAAAATGTCATTCCCAAGAACCGGTGAAAAGACACATACTCACTTCATGCATGCGTTTTAGTTTACCAAATATTAAGATTCCAGTTGTGCAAAATATCTGTGTCAGTAAAATGTCATTCGTAGCCGTCAATTATGTCAGTAATAATTCCACTATATAACAAATATTATACATTTATATATAAAACGGTTTAGGACAGCACAAACAAACACCAGACAAAATAGATTAAAACATGAAATAGAAAACAACATTTGTAGAACATAGACAAGCATAAAAACCGTAGAAACATACTACAACTAATTATAAGGGTATGGATTCCCTGGCACAACATAGACACGCATCACCTTGAACCAAAAAACACTCTCATGGTGCCATTTGCATCGATTGCAACAAGTCCAGAAGGCAGGATTGTTCTTTTCTTCACTAGGCCAGCCTGGAATAACAAAACACCAGTCGTTGTTGTTACAAGCGCTGCACTGATTGAACTTAATCTTCCCATAGTGAAACATATCTACGATATGTCTTCCAACAGAGAAAATTCCGCTTAATCGTCATCTCAAAGCATCCCTGGTTCCTTTTATATCAATGTTGTTACGTTGATTCAAAGAACACAAGAATTCTAATGCATCCTCTTTTGACTGACCAATTTTGGACATGCCAAGTAGTCCAACTAGATATGCCGCTTCCATATGGCCTGTCGTGGCTGCAACGCGCATCCCAGACAATGCTTCCACATTACCCTGCCTGAAAAACACGTCGAACGCTTCTCTAAATATCGCCTCACGGTTCTCGCAAGCCCTGCATTGTTCCACGAAATGCCGGACCTGCGTTGAGGCATAGTACCAGTTAGGATGGTCTTGGTACTTTTCCATTGAAATTGTGTTCCACACTTGTGGAGTGTTTGCCAACGTATTGAACAATGGGCACACAGATGCCATACGAAAGAGATCTTCCGATGATTGGGTTGCCACGTATAACATCACTTTAAACCAAGCTAATTCCGGGATGAAGGCTTGAGGCACATCCAAATGGAGATGCTTCCTTCTCTTTCCTCCGACTGTAGTGTAATGTTTCGAATTCATTGAAATATTTTTGGAATGGAACAATTTGAGGACTGCAAGAGGGGAGAAATGAGAATATACGGGGTTTTGGGTTTGTTTTAGCCTCTGTTTGCACTGTTTTGAAAAGGTGTTTCCTTGGGGTTTTTTCAAGTTGACCCTTTTTAAAGAAACTGAACCCAACACCCAAAACATAAGACAGGCGAAGGAAAAACGTCATCGAAATGCAAAGGGAGTCAGACCGTCCAAAAGTCAATTAATAACCTATTTCCATAGCCATTGTTAGGCTTTTCCCGCCATTAAATTCATTGATACAAATGTGATGGATTATTCACTAGTGACAGAAGGTCCCATCAGATACTTTTTCATTTTCCCACACCACACTACCCCTAGTAAATGACGGATTCTTATCCAACTAGTTGCCTTCATGAAATATAAAGAAAATAATATATTTAAAGCAGTGTCCCCTCAATTGTAAGATTAATATTTGGTAGTGAAATAGTATATCGCTTTTCGGAGTAAAAGGTGTCACAATTCTGACGGTACAGGTGTCCAGATCGTGACCAACCCACCCACACACAGAAAAGAAGGATATAATTCGATTTGGGCAGAGATGAGAGAGAGCTAAGTGAGAAGTTTAGGGTTATGACTTATGAGTGAAGGGGTATGACTGAGAAGGTATGAGTCCGAAGAGGTTTTAGTGAGAAGATCTGAGTGAGAAGAGGTACAAGTGATAAGATTCAACATGTCTTCGTCTTCATCTCCCGCTCAAACAAAGAGGTGTCAGTATTGTGGAGCTGCAATGGTGCTTCGGGTTTCAAAATCAAATAAAAATCGAGGGAAGCCATTTTGGAAGTGTCTAACCTCCTATGTAAGTTCTCATTTCCAGAATATGTATGTGGGTGAAAAAAAATCCTGGGTCTAACTCTGACAGAATTATTTTGCATATATGATGCCTGCAATTAGGGAGCCACCAGTTGCAATGGATTCGAATGGGTTGATGTAACCTCCGCTGAAGCAGATCAGCAAGCTGACACGTATGATGCTACAGTGCTTAATATGCTGAAGTCCATTAAGGACTTGGTATTAGTTTTATTAGTTGTATCAATTGTCATATTATTTGTTCTTTTAATGACCAATTAAGTGCACGGTTTCAAGGATTGTAAAAGTTCTCCCCAAAAACACATGTTGCACGCACCACCAATGACTTTTCAAACCCAATTTGTAATTTTTGTTCTTCAAATAGGTGGATTGGCATTGAGTTTAAATTATTGTTTGAAACAAAAGCATGTATTTGTCAGAAACCCAGTAAAAACTTTCCTAGACTTACTTTACAAAAATAAAGTCATACGAAGACGATAAAATGACAATACAAGGCCAATACGATGCAATAATAAGACAATACCTTTTTTTTGAAGATTGCATAATTATTCAGTGTATATAGATTGTTTATTGATTGTTTACTGCATGTAAATCGCATGATATTGAATGTTTATTGAAGGTTTATTAACTGCATGTATTTCGCATGTTATTACTCCGATATTGAGTGTTTATTGAAGGTTTATTGATTGTTTACATGTTTCGTGAAGGTTTCATGATTGTTAACTGCATGTATTTCGCATGTTATTGAACCGATATTGAAGGTTTATTGAAAGTTGATTGAGTGTTTACTGCATGTATATCGCATGTTATTGCTCCAATATTGCATGTTTATTGGGGGCAAAAGTAGGACTCAAGTTAGATTTAAGGGGGGAAACGGTCCTTATTCTTTGTTTTAGTAGGAAGAACTACTGTTAAGTAGAATTTCCTATTCAATACGACTTCCTTATGGTTGATGTAATTGGGGACTGATGTATATTGCATGTCTATTGCGTGTATATTTCATGTCTATTGCGTGTATATTGCTTGTCTGTTGCCGGCTTAAAGATTGGGATTTGATATTTGGAATGGTGGCTTGGATAAATGATGACATATCACTTTGCAATGATGTAATACACTTAAAAAGCCATCAGTCCCTATGTGAATATGCATTCTTCAAATCCCAATTCACATATGCAGTCTTCAAATCCCAATTCAATGCAGTTTGGTTGAGGTTAGGTAAATGTCGTGAAGGAGTTAGGCCAATATTACACCGATGTTTGTTTCATTACATCAAAAAAAACTTTACACTCCATATGCACATTCTATGTATGGGAATGGCATGTGTCTAACTTCAAAAACGCATCTGCCTATCCATTTAGATTGCCCACGTGCAATAGATTTACAGATCCATTTACTTTTCTCCTCACCAACCCTCAGCATCTCCATTTCAGATTCTTCATTTTTCTATGCTCTGCAACCAGCTCCATATACATTTCGCACAATATGAGAATAAACATAGAGTAATATCACACTAATCGAAATGAAAGCATGCATCCGCTATAATATTTGCCACTATTTTGGTTCTAATTGTTATTGTCCAGTAACTTAAATCTAAATTTCTGTACACAAATACACTAAGATTGAGAAAGACGAAGAAGAATTCAGGAGCAGAGGTGGAATTCGAAAAGGACCCATGGGTCTCTATTGTGTATTTACATGACTTTGAAATTGGACATTCCCAAAACCTATTTAATCATCATGTGCCTAAACCAAGTTCAACCGATATCATGGCATGTAAGCATCTCCCCGTGCAATTTCTGCAGCCAACTTCAACCGAAAAAATGGCATGTTCTGCGAGGTGCAAGTAGCTAAGGGAATCTCAGCACTCAACAGCTCAATGTACTTCAACACGAACATACCACAATCGCCTCTGAAGCAAAACAAGAACTCGATCAATTCAACTAATGACATTCTAACGTAATTGACAAATTAAAGTAATAAAATTAAATAAAAAGTTGTGCTCACTGATTAGCCTGTTGTGGAACATCCCCACGATGTATTGGCCATGGACACCACCAATCTCGGGTGCACTCGTTCGCGTAAACACCTTCTTCATAAAAGTTGAGGGTGTGCAGAAGATTTGGAATCGTAATTGACAGGGGGCCGAGTTCTTCCTTTAAGCTCTGATCTGGAATGAGTGAAACCATTGAATCGTAGACTTTGATTTCACACTGAATCAGATCAATCTCTAGAGCCACCCAATGCTTATATTTTGGCAACATACAAGGTACATACACCTTATACGTGTTCTGCCAATCCAATCCACAAGCCGGAACCTTGCCATTTACAACGTTCACTAAACTGGTTCTAATTTTCCACCCAACTTGCTCTTTTTTCCTTTTATTATCCGCAAAGCAAGTATGGATGTGATTCTGTGAAATAGAAAACAATCAATGGTTAAACACCTCCACAAAGCAAGTATGGATAATTTGTAATTATTAACTGCACTTGGTCAAGGCCTATGCCATACTGATGTAGCACAACCCTGGGTGTGTTAGTTTAAACACTTAGAGCAATAAGACAGAACAGATAAGAAAAGCTGAAGGGAAGAAAAGGTAGAAGGCAGGCAAAAATCAGAGAGTTTAAAGGAATGTTTAATCAATATTCAAATCTGAATTGTAAAGAACTACATAGGGGTATTTATAACAAACTAAAACCTAGAGACAATAGAATTAAAATCCCCAGGTAAAACAGAAATCCTATTCCTAATAAAATAGGAAACTTAGAAATCCTAATAGGATTTGGAAAACTAACTTAGAAATCCTACTAGGATTTGGAAAACTAAAGAATATAGGAAACTAACAAATCAATTAGGAAACTAAACAATTTAGGTCCTATGCATCCTGCATCACATACCATAAAAAATACATCGGTCGTTGTCCAGTCCGATATTTCTACTTCCTCCAACTGTTGTTGTCGCTTCCGGATGAGATACAAGCCCAAATCAATGTGCTGCACATGTTTTCCTTGTCAATCTCATAATCTATGCACATTCAAACAAATGCATAATCAATTAAACTTACATCTCCTTTCAGCCAACCGTCAGCTTTGACGAGGGAAGCGAAGAATTCAATCTCAGCTTCCACGTTGCCAAATTGCATCACCAAACTATGAATATAAAAAAGTTTTAGAACACAACAATTAAAAATATATACACTCATGCCTTCTATCTCAAAAAACAAAGGACTTACTTTGGGTTATGGCGCCATTCCGAACAAAGTTTCAGCAATTTCACCATATCATCATGCGGAATCGCCTTCATTGGGTCTAACGTCCGAAGTCCGGTTGTCTTTGGCAAATTTTTTTGAACCACTTCACTAGCTTCAACGATCTTCCACATAGAAATAATCCTCTTCCTCTTCCGTAATTGGACCCCTCGTTCCACACCTTGACCTTCATCATTCAACCAAACGTTCAACTGAGATAACACAGCTGTAGGTTGATCCAAATCAATGTCCCCGAGAGTAACCTCAACCTTTGTCCCCTCCGTGCTCTCGCCAATGTCATCGCCAACCAACATAACTTCATCATCCTCTTCCTCACATTGGTTTCTTTGCACTTCCTTTTCCTCACTTCTCTGTCTTTTCACTTCCTTGCCCTTTCTTCTTCTTTTTTTGCGGATCCTCTCCCTCACTGCTTTTTCTTTGCAGTTCTTCCTCTCCCTCAATGCTCTTTCTTTGCGCTTCCTCTCCTTTGCTGCTTTTTATTTTCACTTGCTCTCCCTCACTTCTTTTCCTTTGAGCTTCCTCTACCTCCCTTGGTTTTCTTTGCACTTCACCTCCTTCAATCCCCTCCTCTTCCTTTTCCTCTCCCTCATTTCTCTTACTTGGCACTTCACCCCCTTCAATCCCCTCCTCTTCCTTTTCCTCTCCCTCATTTGTCTTACTTGCCCCTTCACCCCTTTCAATCCCCTCCTCTTCCTTGTCCTCTCCCTCATTTCTGTTATTTGGCCTTTCACCCCCTTCAATGTCCTCCTCTTCATTTTCCTCTCCTTCATTTCTATTACTTGGCCCTTCATCCCATTGCATGCCATCCACTTCCTCATATCCCTTAAATAGATGTGACACGACACAACGATTCGTCCTCTCTTTCAGTAAAGTTATGTCCCTTCTCACTTCCTGCTCAAAATGAGGACCTAAACAGTGGTCCAAATTTTTTTCCATTCGTATGACCTTTAACTCAAGGACGTCCTTTTCCCGCTTTACTTGAAACAACTCGGACCTCAACAAGCTTACCGCCTTGTTCAACTCATCAAGGTCAGCACATGAAGAAGGAATTGACTCTGCCGAGACAACAGCAGGGCGACCCTGTGGCCAACTCCAATATGGTTGTCTCATTTCCTCTTCACTTGGACATAGCGCCCGCAACTGAACTGACTGTTTCATAAAACAGACAAGAGTCATATGCAATCATTCTACTTCATAATTTCATTGAATCTTATAAATAGTTCCAAGGGCTGCAAACCAAACCTCTTTGCTCTGGAAAAAATAATTGTTCATTTTTCTCATCTCGGGAACAGACGTAGTAGTTCTCCATCGCAAAATACGCGGGAGAGCTGTCGGATCAACAACCTTGCAGTAATTCAGGTCCGCCATTCTAGGAATTAATTCATATACCCAAATCTACACAATTCACAGGACACAAGTTATTATTTAAGTTTTAAAGTCAACAAAACATAACGACATGAACATTATTACCATGTACCTGGAAAGCATACGTGAAACCTTTAAAACTCCAGCCACCCCTTTGCACTTCACCATGGTTATCCTTCTTGCCCTTCTTATTTCTCCGGCTTGTTCCGGTTACCTTACTTTTCCCCTTCCCTCTTCCCTCTTCATTTTCAAAGCTTTTCACATACTTTGTTGGTGCAGAAAACAGATTGTCTTGGGTTTTGTCAAACGACACCGAACCCATGGAAACCTGTTGAACGCATCCAAGCCCTCTATAAGGGTCAGGTAATTTAGATTGATGTTCAAATGTTTGTCCATTCCCAAAACCACTAACTCAGCAAAGTAAACAAGAGCTAGCTTGTAGACGTCATCTTCCTCTGTGCACCTCACAAATGCTTCTTCTAAAGCATTACATGTAATTCCTTCGTCTATAAAATATCTTTTCTGAAGTCTAATTTCATCACTTTCTCCACTGGAAACTTCAGGCACTTCCCCAAAACGAAGCCCTGAGATCAAACAAAATCCTGACGAGTGAACTGAGCAACGTCGCACCCTATTAAGAAACTCAGTCCATCCAAGTCTTTCACACCCTGCCCCGCTACTCTACGCAACACAACCCCATGCACAATCTGCCCGCAAAACTGAATCTTATCTATATTCAGAAGATGGCCAAAGCATGATGTCTTGAATTATTCTAATTGTTCGGCACTCAACTTCGCTCGAATTACAGCTAGGGATGAATTTGCATGTGAGCAGTTGTTCACCCGTGAGGAATATGCCTCTGACTCTGGCCATATCAGCTCAACGTTGGATCCCATTTCCTGAAATACAAGATGAAATAACGTGAACACATATACAACCACGTATTTTCACAATCACATTGGTATTTACACAACTAGTCAACCAGCACATTACAAATTTTACAAAGTACATGCGCATAGGGATTACTGATCACAGGCTTTAACATCATCAAAGCAATATGACATATTTTGTGCAAATACCTGTTAATGCAATAATTCTGTGAATTACAAGCAATAGCATGTGTTTTATTTATGGATCCAAACTCCAATCAATGGTTGATGCATGAGTGAGTGTGAGTGCAATCTAGGCAAGTTCTGCACTTCACACACATGACAATTATTGTCATCTCATACACAACACAAAATAAATAAATAAATAAGAAAGATGGTGGAAGGAAGCAAAACAAAGCATCTGCTCTGCTATCTGCTCGCTAAGCCATTGCCACATCCTTCTTTCTTTCTAGCTTTTTCTTCAGTCAGCCATAATCGTCATAGATCAACCTTTTTTCAAATGCTTTGCACTTTTATTCATGAGTTTATTATTATCTGTTCTCATTTTTAACAGGCAAATTTAGTAACAACGGAAATAATATTTATTTCAAAAATTATATATATTCTAGCGCCAGAGAGATAATCTGCACTCTGCACTGCTTCAAATGTGGAAGGTTTTGAGGGCCTCCTCCAATTCAACACCATTACCTTATTCATATCATTATTGACATGTTATTGACATGTTATTGACTTTATTTTCATTCGTTTTTTAACATATACCCAAGCAAAAATTAACATGCAAGTGAAGCACAAAGAAGAGATGCCAAATCTAACAACATTCATGGTACAAATTGGGGAAAACGGTTACTCTAACCCTAAACTCAAATTCCATAAATTACTCACCAAATGCTGGTTATTGAACAATCGCAAGGTGTCTGTGTTGGGTCTTTGTGTGGCTTTGCTCCACAAATGGAACCTATCACTTCCAACGAATACGGCTTCTCTCCTTCCCCTTCCACTGCTTCGTCTTTTCACTGTTTCAGAATCCACGCCTTTGCTCCTTCCACTCAAAATAAATACTTTTTCACGGTTTAGATAGTGGAGTTGCGTTCAACCGTCGTTAACATTTGCCTTCAACCGTCGTTGCCCGTTGCCTTCAACCGTTTCTCAGAGCTTAGCGGTTTCTCTGAGCTATGAGTTTGAGATCAATGGGTTTTTTCTGTTCAAACTTCGAACTTGCCTCTTTTTTTTTTTTTTTTGTTGGGACCAACTTCATTGCTGGATATTAAATTCGGGTTTGGGTTCCTCACCTACCCGATTGCACAACTTTATCCCAATTCTCCCCAGCCCTTGGATTGATCCAATGACTATAAAGTGAACCCCTTATAACTTACCCCTCATTATAGTCTGAGCCGAGGTTAGGTGGTGTAATATATTAGAATTACGGTTCACCGAAAGGTTAAATTTGCTTCCATTATTAAGGACATAATAAATATAAAATTACTTTGGTTTCTCAAACAGATTTTCCTTTCACAGAGAATAACGCAAAACTTGGCACCACCCCTCAGAAGACACAATCAAATAATAAAAACAGATTTGTATTTCACCTAAGCAACTCATGATTTTGGCACAAAGACAAATTATCCAATACAAATTTCCTTTAATTGTTTTTTCACATGTATCCATACTCCTTTTCAGTAACCAATGCAGTGATGCGAACCTTCTTTGCAATTTGTGCGCCTACAATAGGAAAATGGAAAAAATTAGACGCAAGAGAAATCGTAAAATTGCACAATCTACAAATTTGAACAGCAAGAAAGAAAAAAACAGTAATTAGAATGAACTACAACAACCAAATAATGAGAGAACCTCAAAATACAACCAATCAAATTCTATAATGACAATTACCCAAATTGAAGTAAATAATTAAAGTTTCAGAATTCTAATAGTGCAACTAAAAAAGAAAATTATAGCTTTTCTTTTAAATTTTTTTTAAAAAAACATTACAATCACGAAGCATGAAATTTAAACTGAATACAGAACAGGAAAGAAAAAAATTGCAACCAAATGTTCCTATTATAGTAAAAGGGACTAATATGTGGACCATTACAATGAAGTTGTTAGAGTATTCACAATGGTCATCTCTATATTTTATTTTTCGGTGTTAATATGTTCTTCGGCCCGTTGTTAATATGGTCATCTCTATATTTGATATACAAACGAAAATAGAAAAATTCAGATAAAATAGTATTATATCCTTCCAACAATTGGACCCACACGGCTTAAGGGACACTTTTTCTTCTGGGTTGGACTGTTGAAACTTGGAGTGGAGGATGACAAGACAAGATAACAACGCCAATTCTACGGTCCGCAAGTGGAACGATGCACCAGACTCCAATGCTGTGATCTCTTTGTAAATCTACGGCTCTTAACAGATTTCCAAACGAAAAGTGGAAGAAGAAAAGTAAGCTATTCAAAAGCATATTTCAAATTAGAGCTAGTATTGTGTTGTGTCGGGTTCGTGTCGTGTCAGAGTTATATACGTGTTAAGAATGCTAAATCCAAACTCAACCCGTTTAATAAATGTGTCATTTTCGGGTTGTCCAATTTATTTCCCATGGGAGTTTCGAATCATGTTGGGTTGACCTGCTAAGTAGTAGCAAATAAAAATAAAAATAAATCTAAATTTTGATAAATTAATCAAGTAATTGCATTTTTTTATTCTTTATGTAAAATAATTATTGGATTTTGCCTCTCTCTATATATATAAAGATTGATAATGAGAAATAAAAAAATAAAGAAAATAAAGAAAATGAAGAAAAAACAAAGAAATGGGTTGCAGGTTACATAGGTATTTTAGCTAATTGACGGTTATATAAGTATTTTAGCGGGTTAGCAGGTTGACCCATTTAATAAACGGGTTAAATAGGTGTCGGGTTGGCAGGTTATATAGGTATTTTAGCGAGTTAGTGGGCTGACTCGAAACCCACCCGTTTATAAATGAGTCACTGGCGGGTTCGTCTCGTGTTTTTTCCGTCAGGTTTCGAGTCGTGTAACGGGTCGTATAGAAAATTGCCGCCCCTATTTCAAATACCATATATATAAAGTAAATTGAGAAAAATCATGGAATGTGACATTGTTGATAAAAGTTGTCTGTGGAACATTAGAAAGTTGGTAGTGCATCCACAATGGTTCTCTATATTTGATTTTTCTTCAATGTTCACATGTATGTATGAAATGCATATGCCAATTGCACCGAGCTGAGGGATTGTTTTTAAATGATCCAACGGCTGTGGGTTCATGACTTAATAACATGCCTTTTTTTTTCTTTTTCTTTTTTCCCGGGAATATAACTAATCATTTGTTGAATGCGGTATAGTACCACTTATAGCATATGAAGATATATGAATTGTTATTTTGTTGGTACATAGTTTATTTGCAGCTTGCTTCCTCCATTGTGTTTATGCATTTACCTGTTGCTTGGGCATGACAGTTTTCTAAGTAATGAGAACACTCCAGTGGGTTTTGGAGAAAACATCTACTAGGTACTTCTAAAAGAATGTATTAATTAACAAGATTAAGGGTTCAATTTGTACATCAATACAAATAACCTCATATATATATATATACCTCAAACGCTTGTCAACTGCACAACACCTATGAAACACGTATGGCAAACTGCCACCTCTCTCTGCCTCCGTTGTGTCCCCTATAATTAACAGTAAGGCAAGACAATTTCCCCCCGTTTCCTATATATCCATCTCTTGTACTCTTCTGTATTAACAAATAAATTATCCCTTCAGAGCCCATTACAACAAAGTTATAGTTTCGGAGCAGACCCGATCGCATTGTGCGGTCACAATGGCATTCGCACTTATCTGCACAAGCCGAGAGAGGGCGAGAACCCCTGAAAGTGGAGGAGCCAATTGAGAAGAACATAAGTTGGATGAGTTGTGTTACGTGCTTTTATCAAGAGCAACATCAGCAGGATCTCCGATCCATGGCCTCCCTTCTCTCCACCGGAACTTAATTCTTAACTTCCACTACCTGTCCACCCCCACTACCTGCCCTTTGCTTGCATGAGTCTCCATTCCCCAACCCCACTGTGGGGTCACCAGCCCTTCTCTAATTCTCACTTTGAATGCGGCAGCCGTTCTATTTCCGATGCCTTGCAAAGCCGAAGCCTATCTGTGAAGCAAAATGCAACCCAGAGCTCCTCATTTTCCATGCAGTGCACCACCCCAACGCTCAAACGACTCACCTCTCCCCACTGGTGGGTTGGAGTTGAAACTGATGCTTTAACCCTAACCCAATCTCCAATGTGAAGCTCCTCTTCCTCCACAAGCTCCACTTCCGATGGATCCCACATCCAAGCTTTTGAACCAGCTGGGGTGTATATTCTCAGCTTGCCATCAGCATCAATTGTGGATATAGTTCCAAGACTTGCATGGCTGTGGCCTGACCACCCAAATCTTGGTTGCTTGACAGATAGTTTAACCCTAACCCATTTTTCTTGCTCCCGCAAAATCCAACAAAAGTGGACTAGTATAACTTCCTCCCCGCAATATCAGAGGAAAGTCACCACCATTGAACCATGCGACTAGTATAACTTCCTGCATTGTTGAAGAAGAATGGGATGAATGGACTTTAGAAAAATGGTATGAAAGAAAATGGCATACGTAGTTTTTCATTCTGTGCATCTAACTCCTTTTAACAATGGAAAAACAACAAGAGAATAATCAATTTAATAATACAGTCATAAAGGCCTCAGCTGATATGCCAACTACAATTAATCTAAAGAGTCATATAACCAATACGCTTTGGATCACAATTTCCATTCATGACTCAGTTCCTTATACCACGTGAATAAATTTCCTATGTCAATCTTTTCAGTCTAACAAAACCTTTTGGTATGTATGTACATGACAGTCTGTACTACTGATTTTAGTCTGTAATACGATAACCGCTGGTACGAAATTCTTTTTGTTCCTACTGATTTTTATATTTAGAAAATACTAACAAATAGAATAACTATCTTACAGACGTCCAAAGCATGGTACCTAACTTTTTAAATCCAATTGTTGGAAAAATAAAATAAATTTAGGTACAAATGAAATACATTAACTCTTCAGAAACTAATCTGCAAGTTTGATTCTCTGATATTTTAAATTCTCTCTTGTTGTTTCCCCCTCCCCACCCCAACCTCTCTGTCATTGAAAAGTTATGATGGTGATAAGGTAAAAGAATGAAAGGAAAAAAGTGTAAGAAAGTATACCTCCACAACTTCTGCTAAAAGATCTAATTGCGACTTTCGATTTGTCAAGCACTCAGAACTATAAGAGCCTAACATATCTACAAAAGCTTCAAGCTGGTAACAGTATAAAGAAGATGAGGCGGCATGCCAATTGGGACGGAAGTACGAATGCGAGTTTTGTGCCATGTCACCTATGTCAAAAGTAGGCTTCTTCAGTTCAAAATAAGCAATAAGTATCAATCAAAACCTTTTCTTTTTTATAAGACACATGGTTTCATAAGAAGAAGAAAAAACATCACAAAACCGGGGACAAGTTATCTACTGGATAAGCTAGACTACTCAACACAACCGCAAAACAGAGATTAAACATCCTAACATTAGTACATGAACGGAATTTAAATACAGTAGCACTAACAAAATTTAAACACAGAGAAAAGGAGAGAGATGACAATCAAAGCTTAAACAAGTTTAATTCACTAAGAATGAATGTGTGTGCTCCTTGTGCACTGCAACATTATGAATGATAAATATCATGCTCACATCTTCAAAAAGATAATAACAATCATGTAGTGCCACTTTTATCTCACAACTTAAGTTCACAGGTTATGAAAAAGCACCTAAAATGATGTCCATTCGATGCCTGCTTGCAGAAATGCTTCAAATTGAGATATTCCAGGTGGGCCTTTCTGTTTCTCCTTGCTGTGACAATTGTTTTTGCAGAAAAACAAAAGGCTATATACAATAGTGAACCCTGCTCTGGGAATACCTCGTAAAGAAACCTTCCAAACGTAAAGCTCTCCATGGTATGCTGTCCTGCAAAAGGACAAGTAATTATTCAGCTTTTGAGACTTAAATAGGATATAATTTGTGATCAGCAGAACAAAACAACCCCAATGAGAAAGTAAGTAAATAGAACGAAATTTTACTGAGCAAAATAATAAATAATAATAGAAATCAGATTGAACTTTTGTGTTGAGCACAAATTGATTTTGATCAGATGTGCGAAACTATTTAACCAATATGAGAACGTGAGCTTAGGTACAATTAGTAATAAAAAATAAATGCTATGATTTTTTTGGCAACTGTAAAAGTTGATGGGATGCAAAATTGCAGGCAGACCCCTTTCCATAAAGACTTGGTTATTCTCTGATATGTAATAAGATAATACAATGAACTTGGAGACATACAAATAGTAACAAATATGTAACTCGGTTTATTTGGACACTGAATTTGAGCAATCAAACAAGTATTTGGGTTTTTTTAACCGAGAAAGAGTATGTATTTTGGTTTTTGGATTCAAATAGAAGAAAACCAGTTAAGCCAGTTATTATTTTGAAGTACATACCTGAGTTTGATTTGAGAGTTGAGAGTGAAACATTGGATATAAGGAGAGAGAGAGAGAGAGAGAGAGAGAGAGAGAGAGATGGCAGTGGGCCCCAGTTTGGAAGCTGAGCCAACAAAGTTGACAAAGTAGAGTTCTGGGTTTTCCAAAAAACAAAAAAAATCTTGGATCATTTATCTGGATGCAAGGAATTTGAGATATGTTAGCCCAATCTTTTCCCAACTTATTCTCATACCTTTTCTCCAGGGCAGAACATTTGTAGATCTGCAGTAAAGAAAGAGATGCCGGCAAACCCTCTTTTGGCATGAATTGGAGATTGTCACACCAACTAATATATAGCCTTTGAAGAGAAGTGACGTGTCCCTTTCTGTCCCAAGATTTCAGACTTGTAATTTCGTTGATGCGGTGAGTGTGAAGAGTGGTAGGGAGCAGCTTTTGCTAGAGCAACGTCTCCAAGATATTGTCACTTCCCCTGCCACCAATTGTAAAGTTTTCAGAACTACAAGAGCTAAACATATCCAATTCCTAGATGTTGGAATAAAATAAATTTGGCACCAGGAAATACGTCGACTATTTAGAAATTAATCCGCAAGTTTAATTGTGAGAGATTTCAAAGTTCTCTTGTTGCCTCCCCCTTCCCCACCCAACCTCTCTGTCATTAAAAAGTTATGATGGTGAGGGAGACAAAAGAACGGAAGGAAAAGAAATATTAGAATGTACACCTCCAGATCTTCTGCTAATAGATCTAATCGTGACTTTCCATTTGTGAACTGATTTTTGTGATCAGAACTACAAGAGCAAAGCATATCTACACAAGCTTCAAGCTGGTAACAGAATGAAGAAGATGAGAAAGCCACCTATGCCAATGGGGAAGGAAGTAAGGATGCAAGTTTGTGCCATGCCACCTATGTCAAAAGTAGGCTTCTGCAGTTGAAAATAACCAATAAGCATCGATGAAAACTGTTTTGTTTTTTCACCAAAATAAAACCGTTTTGTTTTCATTCTCATTTTTTTTTTCATTAGGAACATGCTTTCATTAGGGAAAGAAAGAAGAAAACATTACAAAACAGGGCACAACTTATCTACTGGACAAACAAAGACTACTCAACTAAAACCGCAAACCAGAGATTAAACATCCTAACATTACATGAATGAATTTAAAAAACAGCAGCACTCCAATCACAACATGAATGAAATCTAAAAACAGAGAAAAGGATATAGATAACTTGATCAAACAACTTAAGCTCACAGGTTATCTATAGGCATCAAATACAATTTAAACTAGCTCAAATGAGACTCAACTTAAGCTTATGAGAAAGTACCTAAAAATGTTGTACATTCAATGCCTGTATGCAGACATGCGTCAAATTGAGATATTCCAGGCGAGCCTCTCTGTTTCTCCTCGTTGTAACAATTGTAAGTCTATATACAATGGAAAACCCCTCATCTGGAAATGGCATGCAAAGAAACCTTGCAAATGAAAAGCTCTCTGCGAGAAGGTATGCTGTCCTGCAAAAGACTAATAATTATTCAGCATTTGAGACTTTAACAACAACAATTAGAAATATAGTAAATAGAATGGGATTTTTATTGAGAAAAATAATAATAGAAATCAGATTGAGAGTTTTTGTTGAGCACAAAATGTGTTTTCTGGAAAATGATTTTAATCGGAAAATAACAAGAGACCAGTAAACAGCAGTGCCAAATGTAATTGACAAAAATCTCTGACATGTAATAAGATAATACAATGAACTTGGGGACATGAATTTGGGACATCCAATATGCATTTGGGTTTTTTATCAGAAAAATAATATGTATTTTGGTATTTGGATTCAATTGGAAGAAAACCAGTTAATCCAGTTATTTGAAGTACATGCCTGAGTTTGATTTGAGAGTTGAGAGCTCAACATCGGATGATCACTTCTTTGCCTATCTTGATGCATGGAATGTGAGATATGTTGGCCCAAGCTTTTCCCGTCTTCTTCTTATACCTTTTTTCCAGGGCAGAACAATTAGAGATGCTCAGAAAAGAAAGAGAAGTGAGGTGTTTAATTCCCTTTGCGTCCAAAGATTTCAGACTTGAGCAATGTCTGATCACGAGGCGTTGAAGAGTGGTAGGGAGCAGCTGTTGCTCAAGCAACGCCTCCAAGATTTCGTCACTTCCCCTGCCACTAATTACAAATATTTCAAGGGAGACAAGTCCTTGCAAACCCCAGTACTCTGCCACTGATGAAGCCCTCAGTCTCTCACAATTCTCAATGCTAAAATGTCGGAGGTTGCGAGGCAAACCCCCATCTTCTGCAATTGACTCTAGATTTGGAAGATCCCTTATTTCCAAAGATCGAAGGCGTGTGAGGGTGTGAATGCGTTCAGGTAATGACTTCAACTTCTCGCATGTCTCGACTTTCAATTCAGTCAGGTTGGGAGCGCGCAATCCTCCCTGGGGAAAACACGCCAGATTTGAACAATGTAAGATCTCCAGATTCCTGAGATTCACATCAACTCCATCTTCTTCAATGAAGGAAAGGGATTCCAGATTCTTACAATTCGAAATACAAAGCACCATCAATTTGGGAAAAATGCCCAAGGGGAAGGACCTCATTGAATCACAGCTATGTAATATCGACAAACGCCCAAGCGATGTCAATTTGGCCAACATCTCATGAGGTAGGGATTCTAATCTCCTACAATTGTATATCGTAAGTAATGACAGCGTAGTGGGTAGGCCATCTTTAGGGAACGACGACAGGGTTGGGCAATTCCATAGAATCAAACTTTGAAGACGATTGCAGTTGGGCAAGCACTGTATGTCATCAAAATATCCAATCTCAAGTAGGGACAAAAACTTTGCTTCTTGTAATGATAACACGCCTGTTAGGCATCCTTCATCTAATTCTATTCTCATTTCTTCAAGAGATTTGTAGGAGTTGATGTTAAGACTGGTACTAGTAGTAGTAGTGACACTTTTATCATGTAAAACCCCACACCCTTTCACGCTAAGCTTCTTCAAGCAAGGTAGATCACAAGGTAAGCTTCCTCTCAGCTTCGGACACTTCCATAGTATGAGCTCCTGGAGACAAGGAAAGTCTGCACCTCCACTTCCACTTGGTACCCATTCCTCCCACTCTGCCATCAACCTAAACTCCAGCTTCTCCAGTGATTTAAATGGCTGAATTACAGAAGATCCATTGCTGCCATAAAACTCAACACCAATCGTCTTAACAAGTTTCATTTCTATAATACAGAGCTCTCTGAGGGTAGGTAGCCGCCCAACTGGCGGCAGCGACGAACAATTACTACAAGCACTAATACGCATGACTTGTATGTTTGACAAGGATGAGCCGCCTAGCCAATTCGGGAAATCTTTTCCACCATACCCACTGATGGTTAGTTTCTCCAGATTCACCCAAGGCTGGAGCTTCTCAAGTACATCTTTCTCCTTTTGGGAATCATCCGCATCTTCATCACCCCATTCCAACTCTAACTCTTTGAGATTTTTCTTATCCTTCAAATTTGCTTGCAAGGCATCCCTAGCATCAACTACATTTCGTAGCTGCAAAATTGAAAGTTTTCCTCCAAGATGTGGAAGCTCCCCCAATTCTCCAATAGTCGACCCAGTAGATTTGCCCACAATAAAAGCGGACAATGTTCTCAAGCTTTTCAATGTACTCATTTGCATTGGCATCTCTGCAATTTTAGTTCCACTCACGTCAAGATGATGCAAATTAATTAATTCCCACATGTCTACAGGCAATTTAGTAAGAGACTTACAACCTCCCAACATTAATTTCTGTAAATTTATCAATTTTCTCAAGTCTGCAGGTAATTCAACGAGACGGGAACAATTTGACAATAATAATGTCTGCAAATTGTAGAGGCTGCAAAGTACACTGGGTAACGTTTCAATTGCAGTATCAGAGAGATCCAAATAGCGCAAGTGAATGAGCTTTTTAATGGAATCAGGTAACTCAGTGACATTTGCATAACAAGACAATGACAACACCCGCAAACATGTTAGTGATGGCAACAAATTATGCAGAACCTTTTTACTTGCATAATAACTTTCAATATACCTATAATATGGTTTTAAAGGGAGATAGGTACGCAAACATTTAGCCCCTTTTAATTGCTCAAATTTAACAATAGCATCTAATTTTTTCCTAGTATATGACAAATGGCGAACTCTTTCCAATTCATGTGATTCCTTCCCTTCACACCTGGAGCAAAATCCTTTAGATATGAACACCGCCAAGTCATTGATGAGATCATGCATGACGAAACATGATTTCCCTGACGTTTGAAACAATGATCGGGATAACAGTTCATCAAAATATTCCTTAGCCACCTCTTCCATGTTGTCCCCATTCTCAGATTGGGGAATTAAACCTTCCGCCATCCAAAGAAAAACAACATCTTCTAACTTGAATTCATAATCCTTTGGCAAAATTGAACAATAAATAAAGCATCGTTTTAACTTAGCTGGAAGATAATGGTAACTCAATCCTAGAGCAGGAAGAATGTCACTTTTCTCATAAGGTAACTCCCAAATGCTGCTGTTTAGTACTCTATTCCATACCTCGGAGTCTAGCTTGGAACGTAACACACCACCAAGTGTTTGTGCAGCTAAAGGCAACCCATTGCACTTGCATGCAATTTTCTTACCGATTTCTTCCAAGCTTGGATATGAACTAGAGTTTGCATTTCCAAACGCATGTTTTGCAAGTAAGAACCAGCAATCTTCATGTGACAATGGCTCCAAGGTTTGAATAGGAACATTTTGCATGAAAGATGCTATATTTTTGTTCCGTGTTGTTACGAGGACTTTACTTCCCCTTGCTCCTGAAGTATAAGGAGTTTGGAGGTAGTTCCAATCAGTATATTTCTCATTCCAAAGGTCATCCAATACAAACAAAAACTTCTTCCCCCTCAGTTGTTCTTTTAGTTCGACTTGAAGCAAATTTAGATCTGTTGTATTACAAGGTTTTGAAGTGACTGACTCAAGAAGAGTTTTAGTTACCCTGATAGCATCGTAGTCTTCTGAAACACAAGCCCAAGCTTTAAATGTAAAATGCTCTTTCACCTTATCGTCATTGTAAAGCATTCGAGCAAGGGTTGTCTTGCCAACCCCACCCATTCCAACAATGGGGATGACAGACACATTTTCCTCGCTTGCATCTTCGGAGAACAACACTTTTGATAAATTTTCTTTGACTTCATCTCTACCATATACAAAGGGTTCATGAACCAAGGAAGTTGTTGGAGTTCTTTGTGAAACCTTCCTCCCAACAACTTCTGTCAAACCAAGAGCACCTTTCAGTTGTACAAAGTCTTCTAGTTTTCGTAACAACTCCTGTATCTTAACATTCCTGCTTTGATAAAACTTATTACGAGAAGTAGGGAGGAAGTTCCACACCTTGTTGGTAAATTTGTCGGCTGTTTGAGATTCACCTTCCAGCTTGCATCGCAAAGCTTCATAGTTGATCTCATCTAGCAAGTCCTCCGCATCAAAGACTGCATGTTTGAGGTCGTCAAGCCACTCTCTCACAGCTGGTTTCTCAATTTGCTTCTCCTCTGCATCATCAAGCACTGCGTTCAAGGTCAACAGGGTCCTCTTCAGTTTCATGAGGAGAAGTTGATCCAGTTTCTTGTGCCGAAATAAGTCGATGAACTCGGGTGAGGCAATTCTGTCACAAATCACCTGGATGGAAGCAGAAATAAAGGCCTCTCCGATCAAAGCTCCAGCCATGTTTCTCTTGTTTTCTTTGCAAGGGAATTGGATGAAGTAATATTCCTTTTCAAATAGCTAAGCTAGCAAAACTTGGAAATACAGGTTTATAAGGAAGTATGAAAGCTTTTTGTGATTGTAATTATATATTACATATTATCTAAGTTCCAATGTGAAAAGCAGTGATATCTCTTTTTCTTCTGATAAAATTAAAAACATAAAAATTCAGATGAGAAATTCACAATATATAAAGAAATCGATTCATATTTGAAATTCGAGAATTAAAAATAATAATAAAAAGAGCAGCATATCCTTCCCACAATTGGACCCACACGGCTTAGGGGACACTTTTTCTCCTGATTTGGACAGTTCGACAATTCTACGGTCCGCAAGTGGAACGACGTACCAGACTCCAGGCCGTTGATCTCTTTGTAAATCTACGACTCTTAACAGATTTCAAAAAGTAAAGTAGAAGAAGAGAAGTAAGCTTTTCAAAAACCGGACAAGGCTATATAAAGTAAATTGAGAAAAATCATGGAATGCGACGTTGTTGATAAAAGTAGTTTGTGGAACATTAGAAAGTTGTTAGTGCATCCATGGCTGTCTCTATATTTGATTTTTCTTGGGTTCATATGTATGCATGAAGTGCATATGCCAATTGCACCGCGCCGAGTAACATGCCCTTTTTTATACGGGAACATACCTAATCATTTGTTGAATGCGGTAGAGTAGTACCACTTTCAGCATATGAAGATATGTGAATTTACATAATTTATTTGCAGCTTCCTTCCTCCATCGTGTTTATATATTTACCTGTTGCTTGGGCATGAGAGTTTTCTAAGTTATAAAAACACTCTTCAGTGGGTTTTGGAGAAAGCATACTAGGTACTTCTAAAAGAAAGTATTAACTAACAAGATTAAGCGTTCAATTTGTACATCAATATAAATAACCTCATATATATATATACCTCAAAAGCTTGTCAACTGCACAACACCTATCAAACACGTATGGCAAACTGCCACCTCTCTCTGCCTCCGTTGTGTTCCCTATAATTAACAGTAAGGCAAGACAATTTCCCCCCGTTTCCTATCTATCCATCTCTTGTACTCTTCTGTATTAACAATAAATTATCCCTTCAGAGCCCATTACAACAAAGTTATAGTTTCGGAGCAGATCTGATCGCATTGTGCAGTCACAATGGAATTTGCACTTATCTGCACAAGCCGAGCGAGGGCGAGAACCACTGAAAGTGGAGGAGCCAATTGAGAAGAACATAAGTTGGATGAGTTGTGTTACGTGCTTTTATCAAGAGCAACATCAGCAGGATCTCCGATCCATGGCCTCCCTTCTCTCCACCGGAATTTAATTCTTAACTTCCCATTTGCATCCACCCCGACTACCTGTCCTTTGCTTGCATGAGTCTCCATTCCCCAACCCCACCGTGGGCTCACCAGCCCTTCTCTAATCCTCACTTTGTCCCCCACTTTAAATGGCCTAACCCGTTCTATTTCCGATGCCTTGCAAAGCCACAACCTTTCTGTGAAGCAAAATGCCACCCAGAGCTCCTCATTTTCCATGCGGTGCACCACCCCAATGCTAGAACGACTCACCTCTCCCCACTGGTGGGTTGGAGTTGAAACAGATGCTTTAACCCTAACCCAATCTCCAATGTGAAGCTCCTCTTCCTCCACAAGCTCCACTTCCGATGGATCCAACATCCAAGCTTTTGAACCAGCTGGGGTGTATATTCTCAGCTTGCCATCAGCATCAATTGTGGATATAGTTCCAAGACTTGCATGGCTGTGGCCTGACCACCCAAATCTTGGCTGCTTGACAGATAGTTTAACCCTAACCTTCTGGCCAACCATGAGCCTGTTCACCATAGCAAGATCAGAGGTAGGCCCAACCCATTTTTCTTGCTCCCCGCAAAATCCAACAAAAGTGGTTCCATCCCATTTATCGCCATCATATCCCAATCCTTGCACCACTCCGACACTGCCCGGCCCAATGGATTTCCAAATACTTGCATGATCTTTTAATTTCACCCACTCTCCAACTTCAAAAATCTGCTCTATTTCAAGATCCGCAGGATCTCCTCTCCACAACCCTGGCAAACCAGAGAAAGCCACTCTGACTTCCCCATCAGCATGAACGCTAGTTATGATGCCTCGAGAATCAGGTTGAGCCCCTCTCCAGCCCCATCTTGGTTCAACTAGTCCAGTCCGGAACCGAACATACTGCCCTATTTTTAAGCATGGAACCTTTTCAACATCCGTGTAATGAGTTATCCACCTGCCTTTACGAAAACAACAAGCTAACTCCAGATAACCTGTATCTTGTACACTATGCACAACAGCTAAACTTTCCTTTCCAATGCTGTTCCAATCATAACTTGGTCGAGTTCCCAGGCTTGGTTTAGAACGTACCCAGTCACCAACTTCAAATCCAGAGAGTCGTTCCGCATCTCCAGGAGAAACTTTCCACAAGCTCTGTCGACCAGGCACTTTTACCTACATCAAATAACCAAAACCTCTTCTCATGTACAGTGATATTTTTAACGAGGACAAAGGTCCTCTTGACATTGTTGCTAGATTGTGCGCACGTGCACACACACAAGTACTAAGTTTATATAGTTGCAGAAGTTGTCATGCACCAGCAGAAAATAACAAATGGTTCAACAACTTGTTTTGCTGATAAATAAAGTGCTGATCTCTTTAAGCATACTTGTCATTTATTTCTTGTTTTCTGCTTCTTTAGTTAAGGACAGAAAGGCAGAGACTGGTGAGGAAGACATGAGAGAAAAGATGAATCATAAAACTAAATCCCTCATCTCTCTCATCTCCCTCTCCTCCTCTCTCTTTAATTTTATTTTTTAAGAAAAAATTCATTTGTCGAATGTGCCCGAAGCAAATGAAACTTCAATGACTGTAACAGCCCGCTTATTTAAAATTGTCCCCAGCCAGCACATTAATTTGTACATCAATCTGATATGTTATATGTAATGATATGTGATGAATCTGATATCATAACAATTGAAATGAAGAGGAGTGCAAGGGAACGACTCATGCAAGATATTGCCTGTGTGTGTGAGATGAGATTTCTTACATTCAAAGCTCCATCCATGTCAATTCTAACTATTTTTCCAACAGTTGCTGCACTTTCATTTGACCATCCAAGTCGTGGCTGAGTAATAGATGACATCACATGAATCTCTTGCCCTAATTCAAAAGGGGGCACCTTCTCCACATCTGTGACAGAACAAGAAAAAGGCTTGCTCCTGAAGCAAAAGGCGACACCCATATCACCATCTTCCTCCAAGCTATGAATTATCCCAACACTGTTCCTTGTAATATCCTCCCATCCGTATTTGGGAGAGGGCACTGAAGCTTTAACTCTAACCCAATCCCCTACCTGCTCATGGTGGAAATACCAACATGCAGATACAAAGCAGCATATTAAAACAACTACCCTGTTTTTTTTAAAGATATAATAAGAATAAACAATTAGATATTACCTTGAAGTCTTCCACCTTCTCCATGTCAGAAGGATCGGCCTGCCATGGTATTGGTCGATTAGGAATTTCAATTACCAGGAGGCCATCATTTTCTATCTCACTTATTCTTCCAACACTATGGTGTGTCTCACCACCCCATGCATACCTAGGTTCTGCAACAGATCGCTTCACACATACCCTGTCACCAATCTTCAAAGTCAACAATGTATTAGTGTTTGAAAAGAATACATAAAAAACATCAAGGGATATAATAAAATTATCAATTATCACTTTACAACATATCTCACTCACCCTGAATGGGATTACAGGTTCAACCTCCTCTGGTTCACAATGCCATGGACTTGGAAGATAGCTCAGTTCTAGCAATAGACTACTATCAGGTCTTATACAATACACAATACCAATGCTCCCAGGTGTAACAGATCCCAGTCCATGCTTTGCTGTTGTAAGAGTAGGACGAATACGAACCCAGTCCCCAACCTTGAATTCTTCAACTCTTTCCATCTCCGCAGGATCAGCTTTCCATCCTCTGGAGGCTCCAGGAAACCCAACGCGTAGGATACCATCATCATCAACACACAATACAGTACCAATGCTATCACGTGACTGCCCACGCCACCCAAACCTGATAACAAAGCAAGGTCAGTCATTAAATTTACTACAACCCATTTGGAATAAGGATTACATGCAAGCAGATACCAGAAGATGCATATCTAAAGCTGACAATAGAAAGGAATTAAACATAGCAAATGCAAAAGAGAGAGATCCAATGCATGCATGTGAAGTTTCATTGTTGATTAACAGAAAAATGGCCAAACTATTCTACTTTTGTCTCTATCACTACATCTGCTTTTATCTAAACCTTTACAGCCGTTTACCTAGTAGTACAGGATTCTGCATTTATGAGCAAACCATTTTATTTCTATAGTTCACATAGATTGTCTACCACGTTGCTGACAAAATATTATTAGGAACAAATATATCATATTTATTCTTGGTCCTTGTATAATGTTTTTATCTTTTACTTTAATGCCCCAAAACCTTTATGTTTAGTTGGATGTTTCTCCACTGTTGTATTGTATCTTCTTGTATTTAAACCTTTTGGTATTCATGTTTAACCAATTTTATTTCAAAATTACTTCATATTAAGAGGATAAATTATGGGCTAATGAGTAGTCCTTCAGCCCAAAATATAAAAATAAATACATTAATGTCACTTTCATTTTAAATGCTTGAGATGAGATACAGTTATGTAACAATTAAAGCTTGGAATAAGATGCCACCACTTTGGATAAATATAGAAACTGTTCAGAATTAAACCTGGGCTCTTTGACATCTGGTTTCAGCTGGACATGCTGTCCCCTGTCTAAAGGAATAACTTTTACAACTTCATTTGCCAAAACACGAACCTCTCCGGAACAAAATGATACTAACAAATGGTCCTTATCCGGGGCACCTTGCACAAACCCAACACTTCTATGTTTTGCACCTTGCCAGCCATACGTAGGAGTTGTTATGCTTCTTTTAAATTTCACCCAGTCTCCCACATCAAATCTAAACCATAGAGAAAACAAGAATTATGAAATCTACCAGTCGCAAGGAAGCATTATTAGACATGCTATCAGAACAACACAATGATATCATCTCTTCTCACATTGTAGGAGACAGAAAAACCCCCCCGATTTACAAGTGCCTCCATCAGATCTTCAGATATCCATTCCCGGGGAAGGGCCTCCAAAAAGTCACGTAATGTCTTGCCGCTGTCATCAAAGTCAAAATTTTAAATTGTTTAATATATTAGATAGCTTACCCTGTGCCTTGGCACCTTTATGGAGTTCCCAATCAGTTTCCTAATAGATTAAACGCAAAATTTCAAAGGCCTGATAGTCATTAATAACTTGTTCACAACCTGGTATTTTTATTAGTCATCATTTTTGTTTCTTATAAACAATTAGATGTACAAGTTCAAACACACTTAATGGTATATAAATTTGTAAGAAGAGAATCTCTTGCAAATGACAGTAAAGCCACAAAAAAGAGCAATGCCTTAATTGGCACTTGCCTGTGATTTCTGGCTTCAACAGAAGCATCAGGATTTCTAAGCATAACAATAAGCCATTCAAGATTTTCACGTATCATTTTTGCTGCATCTGCTGCTATATGGAAAGCATTGTCACCTTCATCATCCTGATAACAATGAGCAACATACATAAGGCCGATGATGACTCAAAGAGAAATCTGGATTAAGTAGCAAAAAGATAAGGACAAAGTCATTAGGCATCATCAAGAGATAAAAGCTATCTTTGTATGTGTGTGTGCACTCCGTTCCAACAAGGGCCTAACATAGAGGACTTTCATATCAATTGTTTGATAAGATAGTGCTAATATCTTCTTAACAGCTAACAATGAGAGACATCTTCAACCATATCTACTTAACAGTTAATATGTAAATCCTAATTGGGTCCTCACTAGATTACCTCCACGTGTGCACATATAAAATTGTATTTTTCTCATATTAAAGTTCTATATCAACAAGAAATGATTAGATACCATGAGAACATATAACTGATGCAACAACGGAAGTTCAATAAATTGAAGAGAAACCTGTAAATTATAATTTGCTCCAGAAGATAGAAGCAGTCCGACACACGACTTCGCCCCTCTGGCCAATGCTACATGAAGAGGAATTGTATTTTGTACATTCCGAATGTTCACATCAACTCCAGCATCAAGTATAATCTAGCAATGAATTTTCCAAGGTGTTGATACATCAATAATGCACAGAGGATGAGTGACCAAAAAACAAGAAATGCGTTTTAGATTCTGTTGTCATGCAATTGAAAGCTATCTTGACTACCTTGACCAACTCAACGTCATTGGCCATTGAAGCTGTATGCAAAGCTGTCCGTCCATGCTGGGCATCTTGAGCAGTTGGATCTGCTCCAGAAGCAAGCAAAATATGCACCATTTCTCTTCCTTCTACAAGCAGCATCAAGTAAAAATACTAATACTAATCATAAGATAAATTACTTCTTACTTTAAGTGGAACACTGGAAAACAGAACAAATCAATTTTACCCTACCAGCTAAGTAGGCATGTAAAACAGAAAAAATCAACAAGAACTACAAAGTGCAAGAAATCAATTTTACCCTACCAGCTATGCAAATCCTGTGGGTTACGGAAGATGTCAAAGGTCTCAGATTAAAAGTAAATGACAAAATACACAACCCCACAAAAAATTTATGTGAAAATCATATGATTGTGTTAGATTTTATCATTCTACAAATATTTTTACCAAAAAGGGGGAAAAGGAAATCGAGAAACAAATGACATGGGAAAGAAAGGAATACAAAAGAAAAGAGTAGAGAGAGATTTTAACATCACACATATTTTCTGACAATATTTGGGATTCAAGGTTTAAGTGCCCACCCCGCATGTCAGCATGGCCGGAAACAGCTTAAAAACAGGGACAAGAAATAGTTAAGAAGTTCTGTGTCTATTGTTGCATTAGCTTGAAGTCTTGATCATTGTTTGACAATGCAACTCTATAGTTCTGGAGCTGATAAATATTCATCAATAAAACAAGCACGAATATCTAGACTCTGTAACATACAAATATAATATGCAGAACCATGCCCATAGGAAAGACATCAAATTTGACATTTTTTGACAAGATTTTCTAGTACAACACAAATTGAGCTCAATAAAGACTTTTTGAAACTTGCAAGTACAGCAACACTAACCTCCAAACACCAAATAACAATGATTAAGAGCTCAAAATCAACACATAAACCAATTAATTAACAAAACTGATGGTTTATGGAAAACTAAGGAGGTCTCAGGATAAAAGTAGATAACAAAAGACACAAATCATTAGACTATATATATATATATATATATAGAGAGAGAGAGAGAGAGAGAGAGAGAGAGAGAGAGAGAGAGAGAGTATCCTATATATCAATTTTTGGACGCCATACTCACATATCAACCAAAATCCCAAAAGTACCAATATGTAATAAAAGTGCCTCTAACCTGGTTGAAAACAAAGAATCACTAAAAATTAAAAATTTCGGATCAATTATCAAGACATTTTAAGGATCTAGGATTACCAATTTCATGATCTTTCTTTAGAGCAGCTGCCATACACAACGCGGTGCCAACTGAACTTGGTATATCAATTGCATCAGCAATCTCTTCTGGTGTTGCAACTTCCACCCACCTTCTAACAACAGCAACATTCCATGTTGCCACACACAAGTGCAATGGTCTATGATAAGACAAGAATTTAACAGGGCAATCAAACATTGAGGTCAAAATCTTTATGTAGTTTCACTCAAATACCCGCTACTTGCAAGTGCAAAACCATGCGACTACTTTTAACAATTTTAATAGATAAAAGCAAATGCTTTTGGGCTATAAACAATCAAACTACAGAAATATATATATATATATATATATATATATAAAAATTATGCTTAACTAAAAAGGTGACAATTGTCAGGTCTACTACTAAGCATGTCCTCTGAACCACAAGCTCAGGAATGATGGGCCAATGACTCCAACAGACTCAATTAGTATATTTCACCAACAATATTGCACCTTCTAAATACATTTAAACAATCTGACACATCACCAGACTTGTAAATCCAAGTAAACCCTGCCTTTTAAGGAAAGCGCACGTATATAATTAGGTATTTTTATAAGAAATTATATGATTCGTTGATTAGCCTGAGATCCCAAGTCAAACCTTTCTCAATCAAAAGTACAAACGTTTTCTTTATCCTTTGGATTAGTTCAGGACTTGTCTGCCTACTTTTATTGGCTGACTTTACTCTCTTTTTTTTTCTTTTTTTTTTCTTTTTTCAAATGTTGCTAATGCCGCTGTGTTTATCTTATTGTTTTTTTTTTGGTTGAAAAGAAATGCCACTGTGGTTTATCAAAGTACTCAATATAAACTACAATGTCATCGAATTATAAAAACAATAACTTCATGTCTGTTTTACATAAAACTTGTATATTTTCAAAATATTCGTCAAGATCTATCAAACAAGACTCAGGATGAATATAAATTATGCATGAAGATAGAGACAGTAATGTATATGCGAGACATATACATTATCAAGATGAATAAAGTTACACTTTATAACCCATTATATATCTATGAGACCGATGCATTATCATGATGTGAAAAAAAAATTAATTAATTAATTAGATCATGTCAAGGAATTGAGATAATGTGTTTGTGAGACATATTCATTATCATGATATCGAAAGTGAATTATGTTTCATTCTGTAAGAGGCAGATACATTAATCTTTTCTTCTACATAATTTTATTATCATGGGTCTTGTGGATAATGTAATATATATGGATGTTTGACTTTTCTACTTGGATTAATTATTGGACATGAGCTAACAAAAACATCTATCAGCATACCGCATCTACAAATCTTGTGAATATGATCTGTTTTAAAAAGATCAAAATAATACATTCAGATTCTTTTTGAATGCTGCCCAACATTATATGTTAAAAGAGCTCACATGGGCCTAACCAGTAAACAAGATCAAAATAACTACACATGGTGACAGGCATATGTAAGACTCCGACAAGTTAATTCTACAACACATTAAAGTCATAATATCATGGATCTTAGTTTGGAAGACATGAACGGAGGTAAAGCTGGAAATGCCCATTGGTAACTACACTTTATGCCCAGATGAAGGGGTTGAGATTTGGCTGACTGCATGCTAAGACTTGAATATCTTAACTACTATTCGTATAAATATATTTGCATTCAATTTGTATACTTCACATTCAAAGAAACTAGAATTCTGTATCTCAAAACGCACTAAATTCTACAAATGAATTATTCAGACCTGATTGTGGCTCAGTGGATTGTGCCCATTAAAAAAAATCCACAAATATTTGATATCGCACCACACATCATCAATGAATTTCATTACCAGAGAGGTAAAAATATGCACATACTCTTATAGTAAACAAAAATTAAAGAAAATGAAAATCAATTTCGTACTTACGTATATTTTTCTGAATTTAAAACGGACATTGACCTAGAGCCCCCATTTTCCAAAACGACAAGTGCACAATCTGTATATTTCTTGGCAACAGCTCTATGTAGCACAGATTCACCTTCCTCATCCACTGCATTAGGATCTGCCCCAGCCATTAGTAACTCCTGAAATTATGCAAAATATATGTTAAGAGTACACCTTTCAAAAACCTTATGAAGCAAAAATGAAATATCATTAAACAAGATATTTCATTATCCCTGTAATAAGACCTACATGCATACAATCAGGCTGGCCATGATAGGCACAGACATGAGCAACAGACGGGCCAAAGCCTTCCCGCAACCTAGATCTCACATTAGCGCCTCTGTTAATGAGAGCACGAACGCATTCTGGGGATCCAGCAACTAAAGCAAAAACAAGTGGAGGATCCCCATCTTTGTCCAAGACATCCACATTCGCCTCTCGATGCTCCAAAATGGCATCAACAAGTTCTGCACTACCACGTCTACAGGCCAAATGGAGAGCAGTTTGGCCATCAGCATTTGAGCTTCTAATAAAGACAATACTGCGCTGTTATCACTTTCTGCTGCAGCCTTTTCAAGCAGATCTCTGTACAACCAAAGAGTGGCATAAGGAGAATAAGACAACAGTTTTGGGTTTAAAAACAAATAGCCCAAATAATGAGGGAATGAAATGCACTAACCTAACACCGTGTACATCCCCTTCGGACACAAGTCTATGCAGAAGGGTGGGGTTAGCCTGAAAAACTTCTGAATGGGATGCAGGAGACGGTTCCGTCACATTTGATCCAGAGCATTTAGCTAAACCACTGTGTTCAAAAACTCAAGATGTCACTCAATCTAATGTAATTAGCAAATTATAAATTTCAATATATTGATCATGCTCTCTCTGTGGTTTGGGCCCCCAACATGTATTGAGAGAAACCAAGCATCACTGACTTAGTTTCTATATGCATGTTCTTCATCAACAGCATCAGCAAGGATTAAGTCAAGATGCCACTAACAAAAATACCAGAAAATTCAAGAGTATAAACAGTACTTTGAATTCTTACTTATCAGGACTTGCAGGAGGGCTCCGTGGTATCTCCTGCAAATGACGGAGAAATGTTGCTAACATTGAACTAAAAGACGGTCTTTTGGATGCCTTGAACTGCAGGCACTCGCCAATCATTTTCCACAATTCCCTAGGTATTCCAACACCTACTACACTTGCATATTGTGGAGGCAGTTTCCGAGCCTTGATTACAGCCCGATAAATTTCCTCTGTGCTTAAACCAGCCCATCTGCACAACGAATTTCAACTTGTACTAAAAATCATTCAATAAAGGGAAAAAGAATGAGAACTTTCAAATATACAGTATGTTGCTCCACGTACGGAATGGAACCAGTGCACATTTCTACCAATGTACAACCAAAACTCCATGCATCTGACTCTGCAGAAATACCAATAGCATCCTCCCAAAACGGATTCAATAATTTCTTCACCGGCTCCCATGCCTCTGGGGCTGCATAGTGGGGGCTGAGCATCGTACATTCCATACAAGAATGGATCCTTGAAGTATCACACTCCAGTCGAGCTTTCCGGCAGGAAGGTTTCTTCAGAATTGCAGCAACTCCGTAATCAGAAACCACCGCGTGACCACTTGAATCCAAAAGAAGATTGGACGGTTTCAGATTCATACAAACAACACCTGCCGCATGGAGTTCAGCCACTCCTCGTGCAATATCAGCCCCATATCTACAAATGGGAAGCACTCAAAACGTCAAGACAAGAGTTAATGCCAGTTAATAGTTACTAAAATAAGATATTTTGTAACACACTGGTGAGCTTGGATTTGTAAACCTCTAACTCAATTAGAACTTTAACCCTCAAACCAAATGAACTCAACATGTATAAAATGGAAGTATAAACAAATCCGTGACTATAATAATTTATATTTGTCTACTTTCAATATTTTGCAGATAAAAACAGGAGATGTACCAAGCAAATCCAACCTCTATTTGGCAGCTAGTTATACCAAAAACCCAATAGATGTTTTGTACTTTTCAGTGAAAACACAATTCTTCAACATTTATTCTCCAAATCTAAAATTCAGCGTCCAGATGCATTTGGAAAATCAGAATGATATTTAAGATCAGTCTTATTTTGTGGTTAGGTACCGTATACCCCTCTCCTGCGTCCTAAATATGGAATTAAAGCAAGCTTCACTGTGTACGCAAAAGAAATGCATTTCTACACACTGAATTAACCTGTTATTATGTTGATTGTTGACAGCTGTTGAAGGGGAAAATAACATATAAGATCATTTTATTAAAAAGTCTACTACCAAAAAATAAATAATAAATCCAGCTTATAGTTACAACTGTAAAGCTACTACAAGCTCAAAAATTTAAGTCTCACATGGTTAAATCTGACTACTATAAATTTCAATGGATTTAAAGAAAGTATATGACTACTGAATTAAAGGTTTCTGAATAAGCTTGATTTCCATGTCGGGGACAATTCTTGTTATGCCACATCCAACCAAGAATCCCAACTGTTTGCATTTATACCTGTTCCATAGTGTCCATCCATTACTATTATTAACTAAAAAATATCTACCCTTGTGAGCATATTAACATTCTTATAAAGTTTCCAGTTCCACATTTCACGGTCCAAAAATGGGAGGAATATATTGGAATGGGCAAAGTAAGTTTGGCTAAGTCAGAAAGGACAAATTTGTCTTCCTTGAAAGCTTTCAGTGAGAACAACATTTCAGGGAACGGAAGGCATCACAATTTGGTGGCTGCAATATAACTTGTATCCTAACTCATTTTTGTATTCAGGAAGGGAAGACAAAGAACATATGAAATTTGGAGAAACATGACAAAAGAAGAAGAAAAGTTTTAGATATTGCACGATACTACTAACCCAATGTAACTCAGCTCCCCATGACAATGCACGTGAAGTACCCAGCATACAGAACATTATTGCAGAAGACTTTACCACACCTCTTTCACGTAAGACACAAACACTTCAAATAAGTTTTATATTTGAACTGTCAAACAATATGACCAAATGCAGTATCGGTATGAATCATAAAACCCATAACTTGATCCATAAAAACAATTTGATTGTCATTTGATTATTCAGAATCATTAACCATTCCATACCCACTATACAGAGATCAACAAGAATTGCCTAAATTACCTTTTTGAACTGAACTATCCAGAACCACCACACAAACCAAGAAAATAATCAGAGCATACGAAAATTATAATATACAAAACCTTTTTCAAACAAAAATAAAAAGCAAATGAAAACTTCAAAACCTTAGGATTTGCTCCAAAGTAAGCCTGCCCTCATTGCGCTGCATCTCGGACTGAACAGACCCATAACACCTATCCATAACAAGACACAAAGTGCCTTCACTCTTCATAGCCCCATGAAATGTGCACACATTCCTACACCACATCGATGCCCGCCGCAAATTCTCCAGCTGCCCCATCACCCAATCCATACTCGTCTCCTCCGCTACTGCCACCTTCTTCACCGCTACCTTGTGGCGGCACCGCCCGCCTCCGCCGCCAATCACTGCAGTCCACATTTGGACCCCGGCCTGCCTCCCCTCCCCTATCCGCCGCACCAATCTCAAGTCTTGGTGCACTGCCAGCTCCATCACCGGCCCGCACCCGCCCGAGCTTGAGGTGTGGGACCCACGGCTACATCGCCGGTCCCCATCGTCCTCCTCATCATCATCCCCATCCTCATCGTCCGTGTAGTCGCAATCGAAATTGGCGGCGGAGGCAGACGAGACGGCATTGGAACTCGAGTGAATCAGAGCGAGCACGGCGAAGTTCTTGCGGAGGGCCTGAACGGAGTTGCCGACGACGGACACGTGGCGGCACCTGGGGCAGACGAGGGTGGTATCGGTACAAGAAGAGAACATCCGAGACAAGCAGTCCTTGCAGAAGCCATGGCCGCACTGAAGCAAAAGCGGGACTCTTTCTTCCTCGTCGTAGCGCGTCTGGCAGACGGAGCAGCACGGCACTTTCATCTTCCCGATTTGGCTTCTTCCACTTTCTGAGCTGAATCGATTGAAATTGGGTTTTGGGTTTCGGGTTTCAGAGCTTTTGGGGAGCTCAGAAGCTCATGCTGGAAGTGGAGAAAGTAGATCCATAAATGAATTGGGCAGAGAAATGAAGATTTGAAACCAATGAATGATCAGTTGGGCTAACCAGGAAAGAAATCTACACAAGCAAAGAAAAAAGGGTTTTAGTCTCTTAGAGAGAGAAAGTAGAGAGAGAAAGAAATAGAGAGAGAGGAGTTTTGTGTCTTGTCTTCTAACTTGCAACTTCTGAGGGTTTTTTTTGTATTTTTGATTTCTTTTTTGTTTTTTCTTTGTAAATAATTTTGTTTCGCTTTCTACAAGGACTAAAAAGGAGAGTGGAAGGTTGGCTGGGTCGGCTACTTTTCACAGAGTCCTCAAACCCGCTTCTTCCGCCACAAAATAATACTTTGTTTTCTTTCGTTTTTCTTCTCTGTGGGTTATATAGGAGGGGTAGAAATGGAATATAGAGAAAAATGGTGGAGGGATGGTGTTATATTTGGCAATGATAGAGGGGATGGTTTTCAATCCAAAACCGTTCATATGGATAGGAAAGAGGTGTGAAAGATCCTTTGAGGGTTGGTCCCTCGGTAATGTGAATGCAATCCAATAGTTGTGTGTGACGATATCTTGTGAATCCTAAAGAGAATGGTGAATCCATCAATATATAAATCAAAGTCTTGTCTGCATTTTAATTCGCACTGTAAAAAAATTCTTTATAGTCTAATGCTTTTCTTTTTCTTTTTTCTTTCAAGATTCAGTTGAAGAGTTAGAAAGTATTTTAATGTTCTAAAATAAGATATTCATCATTGTAAATCTTTTTTTCTTTTTTTTTAATGTGAGAAAGGAAATTAGAAAAGATGCAACCCTCGAGGGTATGCATGCCCAAATAAATCCAAATAAAAAGAAAAAACAACATAAAAAGGGAGACTACTCTCCCACAACTTTGAAGGCGAGAGAGAATGGCCAAGGGAAGCAAGAGCATCTGCAACCGCATTGGCTTCTCGAAAGACATGAGAGAAGGAGACTTGATCACAGAATGTTCTGAGATGTAGAATATCTTGAACAAGTTGGTTAATGCACTAGGGAGTCGAGCATCGCTTCAAAACTAAGTCAATGACAAGTTTAGAATCCCCTTCAACTAAGAGCTTGGACCATCCCTTCGAAACAGCATAAGCCAAGTCATCTCTAAGCGTTAAACATTCCGCCACAATAATAGAATTGCGACCAATCTTCTTAGCACCAGCCAAAACAACATGTGCATTATCATCTCTAATAACAAAGCGAATTGCAGCATGGTTGCATCTCATGGAGCCATCAAATTTTATTTTGTACCAGCCAAGAGGAGGAGGAAGCCATTTGATAGGTGCAATACTTGGTCCAATTATTGGTTTGTGATTGGTCCGCCAATAATAATCCAAATGAATGGTACCGGCAACATTGAGGACTCGTGCAAGATGAGGACGCATGTCTCGAAATATTAGGTTGTTCCGAGCCTACCAAACTTGCCAACAGATGCATAAAGCTTTGCAAAAATCATTAGGTTCCCAAAAATTAGCATTACAAGTAAGGGAATGGAACCACTCAATAATATCATAATGATGGGTTGCAAGATGAGGAAAATGGGAAACACAATTCCAAACTGCAATAGCAAAAGGGCACTGAGAAAGAAGATGTTGTATGTTTTTTGGATGTGTGTAACAAAGCATGCTCATGGTTCAAGGCAAGATTGAATCTATGCAATCTAGAATGAATTGGCAACCTGAAGGGAAAATTATGTGTTGGGTATTTTTCAAAACTCATTATGTATAGGAAAATGATTTATCTAGCATTAACATATCTCATATTAAATTAGCGAAAGCAAAATAAAAAACTAGAAACTCAAGTCAGTCCTATTAGTCCCAATCTTTTTATGTTTATCAAAAATTGCACTTTTGACTCTTTAATATAGTTTTAAAGAAAAGGATGAAGAATGGTTACCCTTGGAGCGAATCTTAAACCCTATTAAGGTGTTCAAGTAATGGACTTGATCTCTTGCTTGTTGATGCTCCACTATGGCTCTTCAAATAGGTACAAAGGATATGAACCTCCCAAAAGCTCTTCACCAAGGATGATTAAGATGAGAGAACAAGAAACTTGGAGGGAAGAGATACAAATATTGATCTCAGTCAATCCTTGTTGACCATGTCAAGTGTCGAGTCAATGGTTGACCTTTGACTTTTCCCAAGCCACAAATCTTTCTTTTCTTCTAATTCTCAATCCACTCATTTTTGGATTGCGATCTTATAAGTTCTAATTAGCGAGGCCATAGGTAAGTACTCAAGTTATTAGCATATAAGTATGTTGTGTGCAATTCATGGGTGAACTAGTGACGCATTAATATGTAAGGTGATAGTGGGTCGACCACTACATAGTAGGTAGACCGTATGTCATACTACTCTAGGGATTCATAAATTAATTAGGAGAATCTCAGTTACACTCCCATAAGGTTTAGGCTTATTTCACTTAGACCACACATGTTTCATTTATAACACTAACACCTGTTCCATTAGTCTTTGTGAACGAAACATTCCTTTTTACTAGAATTGATTGTAAAAAGCCAATTTTACCATTCTAACACATTATAACGCAATTTTGTTTTCCAAAACTAAAAATTGCACTCAATAAAATAACAATCAAATCAAAGATCCAATACAAACTAAAGAGTGTTGTTATTTGTACCACATTTACTAGCCACATTGTTGTCCACCTCTCTAATATAAGTGGGTCCTACATATATTAGTGGGGTCCACCTTTATTAGAGAGGTTGTCAACAAAGTGGTCAATGAATGTGGTACAATAATATTATTGAAAACTAAATCTAACTAAATAAAACACACAAAAAGATGAAATTGATTTTGAAAAGAAAGGTAGATGGGTGTTAAAGGCCAATTTAGTAATCTCGTAAATGCTGCAAAACCCAAAACCTTTAGGAGAACATCAACACAACCCACAAGTATTAAACATATATTAGTGCACCAAAATCTTGAAATGAATCTTGCTTACGTAGGTGGTCTTGTGATAAAGTTCAATTAATGATAATATTATACCTTCGAGGATTTGGTAAAATGAGTTTTGGTTAAGGATATTCTAAGTGTAGGGAGAAGAATAATGGGTTTCGAAAAGGAAGCTGAGTAGCCACCATTGAGAGATAAGATAGGGTTGTTGATGTATCAGTTGGATTTAGCTTGTGACTGGCTGAGGTTGCAAATAAAGCGTTGATGGGTTCGAGGAGAAGCCAAACTCTTAGATGAGTTTAGGGTTTGGGTGATTCATCAGTGGTGTTTATCATTTTGGTCTCTCTGTCTTAAGAATGGATATGCAGAGACCTCACTGAGTCACCGATGAGAAGCAAGGTGCCTCCATAGTGCTTCAAGTAGAGGTGCCTTCATTTTTCTTCTTTTCATATTTATTTAAGAGCTTTTAGATTTATTTTAGAAAAAATAGTTTGTTTTTTAATTGTTTAAAAGCACAAATGACAATATTGGCCTCTGGATGTTATTGAGAGTTAACATCCGTTAAATTTAAAGAGTGTTAGTATTCGGGCTTGAACGATCATCATCTTGTGTTAGGTTGGTTAGTCATTTCCTTGATGACTAGGAAACCTTAACATATATACATGGTTGTTATAAAAATAAAATAATCAGAGTTGAAAAGTACCACTGAATATTGGGAGTAAAATTATATTTGTTCTTCTGGTGTTTACACTAACAGAATTCTCTCAGATAGAACTCACTAACACTCAGATTCACTTTTTTTTTTTCCTCTCACTCTTCCTTTCTTTCCTCTCTTCTCCATTGGTGTGTTTTGCTAAGCAATAGGAAGCCTATTTATAGGCAAATTGGATAGCTTCCAACATCTTCATTAAGCTCCAACATCATCATTAAGCTTTTTGAATATCATTTCCTTATTTTCTCTATGTAGGCTCCACCACTTTTTTTACAATAATGGTAACATCCCCTCACTAGCAGCTGCACTATTGTTTCGAGATCTCTATTCTAGACGTCCAATAATCTAAATAATAAGGAAGATCTACGGGACTTAGTACATTTGTAAAATGGTTTACACTTAAAAAATGAATTCGAACATATATAGGCTTTTTATCACAAATGGTCCTTGAGGTTCACGAGATTATCACTTTTAGTCCCTTACGTTTTTTGTGGCATGGTTGGTCCCTAACATTACTAATGGTACATCAAATTGATCCCTCCTTCAAAAATTCTGTTAAATTGATGACATGGCACATATGTGGAGCCCACATATCCAATGATATAGAGCCACGTGGCTTTAAATAAAAAATTAATATATTTAAAATATTTTAAAACTTAAAATTCATAAAGAATTAAAAATATATATATTTTAGGAAAAAAAGAAGATTAAAACTAGAAAAAAAATATCATGTAGCATCCCTTTCCCTTTCTCCCATCGGCCTGCTCTCCCTCTCTACTCTCTCTCCGCTCTGCGTTCTCCGTCTGTTCTATTTCTCCCACACCTACAACCCACCCCTAGCCCCACCCACACCACCTCCAAGCCTGAACTGATTTAAGTTGATTATATAGTGAGCTAACAAACACTGCGAGGGTAGCAAATATGTAGTAATTAATGAAAGAAGATTAAACATACCATAATCCTTTATTTATAATAATTTACTACATTATTTTACACTTTATACATTGTATGGTAAAATACATGAGTGACTTGGTACAACATAGAGTTCCTATGAGGTTCAAAATTTTCTCTGTCTTCATCATCTTTATGTGCAGAGTAAGTTGTGTTACTCCACCACTCTTCATTACCCGACCACAATATTTGCAAATTGTGCCATGTTTGTTTCCGTTTATTGGGTCTTCATGTTCCCAAGCTGGATCACCTCTATTAACTCCACTAAACATCTTAAACGTTCCTATATTTATTTGTCATGGAAATTAGGTAACTATTTTTTTGCCAAAAAATATTGTAGCGACAGTTATCCAAGAGAACCTAAATAATAAAGTTATTCTACAGAAGAATTAAATAGGAAGTAAAGAAAATGATGGTAGGAAATTCAAGTAATTACGAAAATAATATGGAATAATAAAACCTGATAATGAATAATAATACAATTCGATAATAAAATAATAAATAACATTAAATATATTATCCTATGAACAATTATATAACATTACTTAATTAGTTCAAAGAATTAACATGCAATTATTATTTTGTTCTCACATGCACCGGTCCACACAAAAAATATTTTTGTATAAATTACAATAATATAAATATAAGTTTGTAAACTTACCTTAAATATGACACCCTTTATGTGTGTTGGGGTTTTTTTCTCCCCCTTTTTCCATGCATGTGCATATCGCGATATTATCGATATTATCGCAGTATTTTGGCCAAATGTTGCTAAACCGAGTAAGAAATTATTGATGTTGATATTTTTATTTTCTGATATTATTGTCGATATTATCGATAATTATAGGATATGTTTAACTGCTATAGTGCCCCCTAAAAAATTGGTCAATTCCCATTTAACCCCCTGAAAGTTAAAGTGACCCACTTTACCCCCTTGACCAAGGTTTAGTGTGTCACTAACCATTTTCTGTCAACACCATCCCAAGTTCCATTAAAATGATGACGTGGCAAGAGTTTATTGGTCAATTCAACTGAGTTGGGATTTTTCCCACCAATCTGAGGTGGTGACGTGTACTTGTGGACCCCACCTCTAACAATTGAGAAGATAAAACGATCGTTAGGCATGCTGATGTGGATTTATGGACCCCATCTCTAACAAAATAGCCATTATAATCTATGAAAACTCAAAATTGAAAAGAGGAAATCAGCTTGGGAGGGAAAATTGAGATTTGGGGATTTTAGATATAGGGTTTGAGCATACGATCAAGAGAGGGAGAGCGCTGTGAGTTGGTTTCAAAATCTTGAAGGCAAGAAGAAGCAACGTGACACGACGACGATGCCCGTTTGGCGAGAAGCATGAGAAGCGCAACTTGTGTATGGTAAGTGAACCTTCTGAAAAGGGACATGTTTTCTGAAAAAGAATCTTGTCCTATTTTTTTGAAAAGAATCTTGACCTGATAGTTATCAGCGTTGTGTACAAATGGATAGTCTTTAGGTCTTTTTGTGTTATATGTTGTCGGGAGAGTGGGTTCTAATGCAGTATACCTTTTCTGATATGGTCCTATTTTTTTTTCTTATAGTTGGCTTTGAATACGTTAATCTAACCATATTTGTTGTCTTGCTTTTAATGATTGGCTTAGAATACTATTTTGCAGTTCTTAAAGGCAAACATTTTTTGTTCGTGTGTAGAGGATAAAGAGTTGGTGACTTTTGAAGTGCATCATGGTGGTAGAATTGTGAAGAACAAACACAACAAGTGGTGTTATACTGGAGGGTCTATAGGATATTTGGATTGGTGTCATATAGAGTACATAAATATGTTAGAGATGTGGGAGCAAGTGAAACTACTTGGGCACATGGGGAAAGTATCACTTAAAGGAGTAGTAAATGATGAGTTATTGGATATAGACAAAGATCGTGAGCTGTTAAGTTTGTGTGACAAGGTACCACTTTCTTATCAGAGAATGGTGGTAATTTATGTATAGCACACTGAAGAGGAAGGTGTTACAGTGAATGAGGATTGTGAAGAGGTATGTGTGGTTTTGAATGAGGATAGTGAAGAGGAAAATCTGGCATTGAATGAGGATAGTGAAGAGGAAGGTGTGGCTTTGAATGAGGACATTGGGCCTATTACTGAGGATATTGGGCCACTAAACAATCATGAAAATTGGGTTTTATTGAAGGCAATGGGCCACTGATCAATGATAAGGATGGGCGGCCTTTTACTGAGGATCATGGCCTGCTTGCATAGTTCAAGATTGGGATTCAAGTGATGATGATGGGTCCCTGAACAATGAGAGTAATAAGGTTGACATAGGTGAGACTGATGTGGAAGACAGGAATGAAGACACTGAAGAAGAAGACAAGAAAGATGACCCTGATTTTGTTGATAGTGCTTATGAGCAGAGTGAAAATGAATGTGAGTTGTTGAAAAATGATGATAAAGCATTTGAAAATTATGTAGACCACCCTGAATCAGTTGAAGACCCAAATGCCCTTGTAGATGAAGATGAGGAGTCAACTAATGTAGCTAAAAGTGATGTTGAGAGCTTGGATAGTAGCTCAGATGAGGAGGATTATGGGAACCATAAGAAAATGAAGAGGAAATTGCCTAAATTTGAAGAATTTAGGACAGAAACAGACATACGCAACCCTGTTAAGCTGGGTTTAAGATTTGCAACCACTGACCTATTTTGGAAAGCAATTAGGAACTATTCAATTATAAACAAGAGGATGATTAAATTCAAATGCAATGATCATGATATGGTGAGGGCAGTGTTCGCAGGGAATTGCAAATGAGTTTGTTTTGCTTCAGCAATGAATGGGTTCAAGTGAAGAAGTTGGTTAACGTGTATGATTGTGGGATAGTTGACCACAACTTTCACGCTAACTCAACATGGTTAGCTCAGGGATATGCTACTCAACTATCTAGACTATATAATTGGGATATGGGAACTTTTAAGCACCAGGTACAAGAAGATTTGTCAGTGATAGCTTCTAAATCCCAAATATATAGAGTAAGACTAAAGGCAACATCTATAACTGAGAGGACTTATGAAAAACAGTATGAGTTATTATGGGATTACGTTGCTGAACTAAGAAGGACAAATGTGGGTAGCACAGTCATTATCAAATGTGAGTTAGAGGGTAAAAGGCCAAGGTTTCAGAGGATTTACATTTTCTTGGCAGCAATTAAACAAGGGTTTTTGCAGAGATGTAGGCCAATGATAAGATTTGATGCTTGTCATATCAAAGGTCATCACCCTGGACAATTGTTATATGTTGTTGGTGTGGATCCTAACAATGGTATGTATCTTATTCCGTATGCAGTGGTTGAGGTGGAGAATTATGAAACATGGTCATGGTTTTGTCAACTATTGGCAGAGGACCTTGGAATCGAAAACATCACAGGATATGTTTTTATCACAGACAAGTAAAAAAGCTTGATTGATGCAGTACATGACAATTTTCCAAATGTTGAGCACAGACATTGCCTCAAACACTTAGAAGCAAATTTTTGGCTTGCTGGTCATAAAGGATTAGTGTTGAAATTGCAAATAGAGAAAATTGCAAGGAGCACAACCATCCCATGGTGCGATGTTGAGATGAAAAATATGAGACAGTTGAGCCAAGCTACATTTGATTGGGTGGCAGCCTTAGATCCATCACAATGGTGTAGAACTCACTTTAAAACTCATTCCAAGTGTGACATCCTTTTAAATAATATGTGTAAGTCTTTTAATGGTGTCCTTATAGAAGTTAGAGACAAACCCATTCTAACCATGCTAGAGAGGATTAGATACTATATTATGTTGTTGATGAAAACTAGAAGAGTATCTTGTGATAGATGTAAACATGATTTAGTCCAAGGATTTGTGGCATTTTGGAGAAAACGAAGAAAGAATCAGCTTGGTGCATTCCAAAGCTTGCCGGGGAGAGTTTATATGAGGTCAAAAACCATGATAGAAATCAGGTTGTGGTTGATTTGGCAAGGCATAGTTGTTCATGTAGAAGATGGGATATCACTGGGATCCTATGCAAGCATGCTTGTGTTGCCATTGGGCAATAAAATGGGGATCATATTGCTTATGTTAATGCTTGTTATAAGAAGGAAGCCTTTATGAGAGCTTATAGTCCAATGGTTCACCCAATGACAAGTGAAGACTTGTGGCCTAAATGTTATAGGCCTCCTTTGATGCCACCACTTTATCACAAAAAACATGGGAGACCAAGGAAGAAGAGGATGAGGTCAGTAGGTGAACAACCATGCAAATCTAATCCTACAGCCACCAAGTTGCAGAGGTATAACTTGGAAATCAAGTGTTCAATTTGTAAACAAGGAGGCTATAATAGGAGGAGCTACCCTAAGGCAAAAGAAGGCACTAGTAGTAAGGTTTGTCTCTTCCCAAAAAACATTGGCAAGGCATATTTGTTTTGGATCTTTATTATTTATTTTGAAGTGATTCTCTTCTTATGTTAGGTTCTATCTAAACCAAAGGTGAAGAAAACAATTGACACGACATCAACCCAAAAGGTTACAAGACAATCAAGAGCCAAGCAACTTGTAAGTGACTTTCCTTTGATATATGTTTAAAGAAAGAGGTATGGGATGTAATTGATTGTAAATTTCCTTGTGCTTCAATTTTTAGGTTAGAAGAAGGTTGGAAACTGGCCAATGTTCTCAAACTGCCCAATCTTCTCAAACTCCACATGCTTCTGAAACAGCCAAAGCTTTTGAAACTGCCAAAAAAAAAAAAGGTTCAAGTCTCCCTCAAAGAGGATTAAATTTACCAAAAGGAAGGATGGTTCTCAAACTGTACAAGGATCTCAATCTATGCAAGGAAGTGAATCTGTGCAAGATTGGCCAGTTCCACTGGTACAAAAAAGAGAGGTTCAAATCTCCTACCAAGAGGAAGAAATTTACCTATCGGAAGGATTTGTCAGATGGTTATCAGCCTTAGAGATTCTGATGATGTGCAAGTGTTCTATGTTTTGTTAAAATGCCTCTTATGAAGAACTTTTCATTCAACTATTATTTTGCAAATCTAATTGTTAAGGACAAGTGTTAAGGATAACCCTTTCAAATGGGGCTTTTGATTTAACTATTATTTTGCAAGTACAATTGTTAAGGACAAACCTCTCAATAGTATCAAGTACTGGTATTCATTTTGATCTTAGGTCCAGATTGAAAGTAATATTATAAACTGTGAGGAGTTGATGAATGTTATAAACTATAAGGATTTGATCAATGTTATAAACTGTTTCCAGCTTGGTGCATTTTGATCAATGTTATGTACTATTTCCAGGTATTCATTAGATAAGTTGATTTGTATACTCTTTTTCGTACCTTCTAGGAAGTGTTGGAGGTACTGTTGTTTTGGTAATTCTTTTGATACCATTACAGAAGTACCAAAATCCAAAAATTGACTCCCACATTGTGTTCAAAAACCACATTCATTATATAAGTACCAATACATTGTTACATACAGTTGCAAAATCAAACCATGTTCCTCCATCATTACATACGTACCAATATATGATATTTTACATACAGTTGCAAAATACAGACTTCTAAAATATGTCTAATTCCTCCATTGCCAACCTCTAATGGCCAAATTTTATGGCAACTTTTACAGAAATTGCCAAAACAACAACATTACTAAACCCCAGGAAAGAATAACCCAACCTATTAACTTTCTTTCTCTTGATTGACGACGCCCAACGTCCTTTTCAAGTTCCTTCAATCTTCTAAGTAGCCAACTCACCAGAGCCTTCTCTCTAGGTGGAAATTCATCATCCACCCAAACAAAAAACCCACATCCTTTTTTCATACTCTACATCAACCATTAATAGCAGTTAATAAAAAAAATTTATCCCAATTCACAGACTTTGAACAACAAAACTTACAACTGATGATTTTGGACAAACATGGAATCTTCGAAGTGGGTTGGCCTCAGTCCACGAAGTTTGTAAGCAAGCTATCTTCCCACAAAAGCAACGTGGTGCCATCACATCCAACTCTTCCCCTCCGTCAATTATTTCAAGCTTCATCTTCAATTTCCATGGAAACCCAACCTCTGATTTCTAAGGTTTTATCTTCTTCTATGGGAGGAGGAAGCCAATTTGGGGTTTTTTTTTGTTCTCCAGGCAGCTCAGATCAATTCGATCGTTTTATCTTCTCCATTGTTAGAGGTGGGGTCCACAAGTACACGTCACAACCTCAGATTGGTGGGAAAAATCCCAGCTCAGTTGAATTGACCAATATACCCCTGCCACGTCATCATTTTAACAGAATATGGGATGGCGCTGACGGAAAGTGGTTAAGTGACACACGAAACCTTGGTCAAGGGGGCAAAGTGGGTCACTTTAACTTTAAGGGGGTTAAATGAGAATTGATTAATGTTTCATAGTACACTGTAGCAGTTAAGCCTTATAGGATATGTGTATGGATATGTTCCAAAATATCCTAGACCCAAAAAAATATAATCTTGGCGATATTTAGCTGATATTATCAATATTTTGGTCCTTGCTAGCGATCCAATGCTCATCCCCCATCCCTCTCTCTCTCTCTCTCTCTCTCCCCCCTTACTTTTTTTTAATGTTTTTTTTTCAAATTTTAAAACATTTTTATGGATGTTAGGTTTTAAAAATATTATATTTTTTATTTAAAGCCACATGGCCCAATAGCATTGGATGTGTGGACTCCACATATGTGCCACGTCAGCATTTTAACAAAAAATTTGACGGAATCTCATGGAATGGACTAATTTGATGCACGCTTAGTAACATTACGGACCAACTATATGTCACAAAAAAATATAAAGGACACAAGGTGATAATTCTGCGAACCTCAAGGACTAATTGAGATAAAAACCCTTAATATAGAATAGCATAAGGGGAACAAAAGAATGAGAACAGAAGATTTTGCGATGTTACATTGATTTGGATCACAAGGTAAAGGGAAGAAAATTAATGACGGAGAGAAAACTAAGATGATCTATCCAGGTATGCTACCATTTAGTGAGTGGTACTTCATGAACCAAGCTGCCAAGTAGTGATGATGATATGATATATGCTCAAACTGTTCCAACAAGATCTCCCTTAACCAATCCCTCAAGCATAATTTGAATCTCCACCCTGTTGTACTATAAGAATGGATGTAGTAGCCAAAGAGGCTGAAGATACCAATTCATTTCCAACAACTCCTATCTCATTAGAGTCGTTGCTAGAATCTAGAAACATTGTGGCGGTGTCGTTTGACATGCTTTCATGCCTTCTTCCCACTATGACCATATCATAGTCACCTTCCATGGCGTTTATTTCTGTAAGGGTTTGTTCCCAACTTATCACCAGCTTCTCTAATAATTCTATGGAGGTATCGGTCATTGACCTCAACCTAAACTCATCCATGCACAAATCATCAAGTGTCTTTTGCCTCCCTAAATTTTCCATTGCCTCCAAAATACCAACATTCACTTCTGCTCCCTCTTTATTTGGTTTAAGGTTAAACCGTATAACGGTTAGCCTAACCTGATGATGACCAGCCATCCTCCCCGCATACGCTAATGCCTCGCGATCATCTACGCCACCAATGAACAACATGGCAAAGTGGTGACGACAGTTGGAGTAGGTGGATTTACCAAGGCCACGATCCACAAAGATACCTACAGAGCACCGTGCATTTGCAATCAAGTTGTTGTTGAGGCTCTTCAAATGCGAGTTATTTGAATCTTGCAGTGGTCCTCCTCCATCCATAGTTGTAGAATATTGCTGGTGGAATGGGATGATTATAAGGGCAACACGATTCTCCTCCGCCATGCTGCATATGTCTTGATGCATCGTGGTATAGGCAGACACCGCTGTGAGTGTTTGGACGAAGACATTGTCTCTTTGTTTGGCATAGAGTTCAAAGGAACTTGAGGGAGAGGAGTTTTCAGACATATATACATCATTGGTGTTGGTAGTATTAGTTCCGGAAGTGTCACGCAAAAGCAACATCGCCGATGTGTGCCCAGTTAGTTCCACAAGGTGGACGGCAAGGACATGAATAGGGGATTGTTTGGTTGGATTAGAAGCATCAAGGAGGTTGATTGTTCCAGGGACATCGCGTGAGGTGTGGATGCATGCGAGGATTCGAAGCTCGGTTTTCGGTCTTAGGCCTCCTATATTCCTCTGTTTGTATTGCGTGGAAGGCCTACTAGTCGACTTGTAAACAACGGCAAGAAACGGCCCAACAAAAAATGTCATCATCCAAATCGCCACCATCATTAGTGAAAAAGTTTGTCTGTTCAAGACCTGGCAACATAAATACCACATAACAAGGGTCGATTTCAAAGATACCCAGTATCGAGTTCAACATGCATACATACATATGATTCAGTAATATGTATATATATATAAAAAAAATTTAAATATAATTTAGCCACATAAATTATAGTGTAGTACTGTAGTATAGTCACGTGATATAACTTATCTACAGGTATTATAATATAAATGGATATTTATTGATACTATTCCCTAAAGTGGGAAATAGCAACCATGTCGTCCACTCATATTATAAAACGTGTACAAGCTATACCACATGGTCGTACTCTAGTACCATAATAAAATTTCTCGCATGAAGCCATATATATCGATATATTGTAGTATGTATGTATGTACCTTTAGGTCCCTAGCAGCGTTGAGTATAATCATTGTCAATAAGCCTTTGGTGTTCATGAGAAATCCAAGAGCTAGACTATCCCGTGGTGACATTTTGTTGAATAAGCCGGCAACAAAAGTGCTTACAATCTTAGCCACAAAAGCTATGATGAAAACAGCGACTACACGATATATGTTAGTCCCAGTTTTTGCTTCCGATGCCGGATCTCTAAGATTGAGAATATCGTCAACGCTGACTCTTACGCCGTTGACGGAGTAGTAGATAGGCATCAACACCACTGGCACAAAAGTTCTGAGCTTCTTTATAAGAGTGTTTGAGAATTCTCCCCTAGGCATAATAGCTCCAAATACAAAAGGCCCTACCATGGAGTGTGATCCTCCTGCATCGGTAATTAACCCACAAAGCACAACCCCAGCCATGACATAACATGTAAGCCCGTGGTAGTCGATGTTGTTACTCTCACGGGCTCCCTCGCGGATTCGGTTAATAATCCGCGAGAGAGCCGGACGTACAACAAAAACGCATAGTCCTACAAAAGCCAAGGTGGACGTCACCGCTAAAATTTGATTATGATTGACTATGGCCATTCCCGTCAAAAGAAGAAACCATGAGCACAAGTCGGAGATAACAGAGGCAGATAAGGCGAGTCCCCCAACATCAGAGTAGAGAAGTTTTAGGTCCGCCAGGATTCCGGCGAGGTCCGAGAAGTTGGTGGTGGCAAGGGCAATGCCCCAAAAGAATGGGCCGTACTTTGTGCCCTTGGCTTTTGTTTGGGATTCAAAGTCTTTGTATAGCAAATAGCGAAATAAGCCGAAACCAACAAGGACACAAAAGACAATGCCAGCAAGGGCAATGCTGAGTGACTTCTTCCCAGCACGTAGTATTGGTTTGAAATCAAGCTCCAAACCCACCAGGAACATGTGGTAAACAAGGGCAAAGTTTCCCGCAGTCTCTAGCATCAACAAGCTACTCAAAGGAAATATATTTGATTTCAAAAAGATCACAACACCCAATGCCATGCCTCCCTGAAAATTTTAAATTAGTACTGAAAATGTTCTAATGACAATTATTTTCTCGTGATAAACATAAATTTTTCAAGCACACAGTAACAATATAGAACTTAATTAAGGCTCAAAGCAACCATTTTTTCGACGCACCTCACCGAGACCCTGTGATTTCAATTTGACTTATATTTTTCTTGAAAAAGGATTTTTTTTTCTTCTTCAGATTTATAACAACCACATAAAATGGCCAAAATGGCACGCTTGTAGAAAGGCTAAGATCATTAGCATGTTATGTCAATTCATGTAAACCATATATCTAGGTGTACAATCCTTTCAGCATATGGGCACTATGGCGCAGGAGGACTAGTATATATTATTTTCTACCAGTTAAACACATGGTCATCACATATAAATTACAGTGGTGGTCGTCCAAATATTGTAGATTGATATCCGACACAGGACAATATTTACGCCGAATTATAAATAATTTGTAATAGAGTAATAAGGATATGCAGTACTCACAAGAATCTCAGGAACAATGCGTGGTTGGTGCAAGGGTTTGCACACGAGCACCAAAAGATGAGTGAAGAACATGGTGATGATCATTCTCATAACAAGGACGGGGAGAGCTTGCATCAAGGGGTTTTGGGCACGCCATAGCCCATATGGGGAAACTTTTCTTACATAGCATAACTGCACTGAATCTTTTGTATCAGCCCTTAAAAAATAAGTTTCCCCGCCTGTACCATTGTTAACCATTGTATGTGCTTCTCTGCCCCTTGACGTACGTCTTCCCAAAATTAAGCACGCCTTCGATCTTCGTCTTCCTCTTCTTTCCTTTTGATTTTGTTCAGCACCAACAACCCTTGTCCAGAGAGACTAAGAAAATAATGGCTTAATATTCCAGAGGAGAAATTGAGGCCCCAATCTCATAGAGAGACAACGATACTTTTTCTTTTTTTTGATCCAAAGACAACGAGACTGTATATACGCACAATGTCGTAAGGAGGTTATATATAACCGATGCACACAAAATTTCTTACAACGGCTTAGTTATAACGAAACGGGTAGAGTTGTTCCGCTATTTTGGGTTGGAAAGTTCTTTCGGCTTCTTACGTGCAAAGAGTTATTCCTCTTGCATGCAAAGAGTCAAGGTTTCTTGTTTTTTGGTTTTTTTTTCTTTCTGTTTTTTTAGTCAAATATTGTGTATATGTCAATATCTATAATTGAGGTATTTATTTGAGCTCGTGGAAAATGTTGTGGCAAAGTGATTGTGATATTGGTCCAATCAGATTTAGATCATCTTCTCTCTTGTGATGAACCACTTAGACCCTCTCCTCTCCTTTCTTGTGAATTCAAGCTCTCATTGAATTATTGAGGTGACGGCTCCTCCATTAAAACATGTTTTAGTGGAAATTGGACAAACCAAGCATTAGAATGGGAATAAGAAATGCATATAAATGTTTTTTAAAGACTTTTTCTATTGAGAGGGGTGATAATATTACTATACAAATTTATAAATAAACCCAATCCTATACATGTATTTATAAAAAAACCCAAGCACTATTTAAACATAGAAACACACCCAAAATCAACCACAAAGTCAACTTTTTGGGTGTGTTTATAAATGGGTTTTGAGTGTGTGTAATGATGGGTTTTGGGTGTGTTTATAAAGTGTTTTGGGTGTTGGGTTTTTTTATAATTTCAACATCAATTTTGGGTGTTTTAGTGAAACTCCCATATTACTATTACTAAACTCACACACACTACATGGATGCTAGGACCCGAACCAAGATCTTGCATGGAGGAGCAATTGCTCCAAACTACTACACTAGTGAGTCCTTTGCAAAATACAAATAAATGTTAGTTAATGTGTTAAATTTCTTTCAGAATTTTTTTAAAACTATTAAATATTAATACAAATAAGAAATTCAATTTATAAATAAATAAATAAGAACTAAACCGATAAAATTAAGATCTAATTAAAAAAGACCCAAAGACACCGCAATCAAATCTCGGCCACCTCCTCCTCCTCCTCCTCGCCTATCTTAAGCCGCCACCACCCTTCTCTCTTCTAAAATGCTTGTAGGACTTCACTGTTAAAGCACAAACATTTACACAACACATTCACTGTTCACATCAAATTACGCAAACGCAATATGATTGTCAAAACAATATAATGCACACAACTCATTCAACGCTTTTTTCTATGCGTATAATAAATAACAATAAACACTTCATCTTTCCCAATTTTATCTCTTGCCTATCATTAAACTTACCATCTCTATCCTATATATTTTATCACTCACCTATCATGAAATTTACCATATTTACTCTATAACTTGTCGGTAAATGTGGGTTAGGCCAGTTGGACAGAGCAGTAAACTCACCGTTTAGTATATTAAATTAATTTAGACTAATTTAAATTACCATATATCTATATATATATATATAAAGCAAAAGGCAAAGAATGGTGAAATATTCAAAATACCAGAAAATGCTGTTTCTTAATGCAAATATTAAGAATTGAAATTATTAATTAAATGAGGATATGGTAAATTTACACTTTTTCATATATAAAAATTAAAAATAAAAGAAAAATCAGATAATTGATCATATTTTATGGAATACAACTACCCATTATCCTTTTTAATTCTAAAATAAATTAAAAAAAAAAAAGCATCTCACAAGGGCGGAAGTGCGTGCGAAGAAGCTAGTATATATAAAGCAAAATGCAGAAAATGGTGAAACATTCAAAATTCCAAAAAATGTCATTGGTTAATTCAACCATTAAGAATTGAAATTATTAATTAAATGAGGATAATATGGTAAATTCACATTTTTTTCATATTAAAAAAATTAAAATTAAAAACAAAATCAAATAGTAGGTCCTCATTTTATAGAACATAACTATTCATATTATCATTTCTTAATTCTAAAAATAAAAAATAAAACCAATTGGCACACGTGTGAGCGTGTGTCAATGGGCTAGTTTATATTAAAATTAAAATAAAAGATGAAAGTACCCATATCAACACTAAAAAACTGAAAGTTTTTGGGAAACCTATATCAAGTTTTTCCTCTTTTGTTTTTTTTTCAGTCCAATAAAAGAAAAAAGGGGTCCTGTTTTCATTAGATTCTCTTTTCGGGGCAACGTTATCTGCGACTGCGATACATCAGTAGCTCAGCTGACGATTTCAGTTCTCTTTTCTAAAGAAATCTTCGAATTGAAATTGAGACATCTAACATGGTACCGCTCTTCAGTTTGAAGAGCCTTAGATTGGATTGTTCAATATTTATTGTACATTTGGTTCCAAAACCAAAAGATTTATTGTTGGAGAGCTAAAACCCTCGCAATTTTCTCTTCAAAATCAGTTACTTTACAGACCCATCACCACTGAAATCTCAGAAAATCCAAACAATTTCACAGTCGCTTACCTCATAAACTCATGTGGCTTGTCGCCGGAAGGTGCGATTTCAGCAGCCAAGTGGGTCGAGTTGCAGTCCCCAGAGAGAGCAGACTCTGTTTTGGCCCTTTTGAGAAACCATGGACTCTCTGGAATCCAGATCTCCAAGCTGGTGAGGTCGCGTCCACAACTTCTTTTAGCCAATCCTGAGAAAACCCTTTTGCCCAAGCTTGCGTTTTTCAGCTCCCTTGGAATTTCAAGGCAGGACCTTGCAAAAACTCTGGCTTTTAATCCGAAGCTTTTGTCACGAAGCTTGAAGAAACAGATCATACCCACGTACAATTTCCTTAGGAGTCTGGTTTCTGAGAAAAAGCTTGTTGCTATTTTCAAGCACAACTCGTGTATTTTCGTGGAAAGCAACTGCAATGTGTTGGCAAATATTGGACTTCTGAGAGAATTGGGTATGCCCCAATCATGCATTTCTATGTTGCTAGCTCACTACACTACCGCTTTGATGATAAATCCTGAGAATTTTGGTCAACTTGTGGGTGAGGTTAAGGAAATGGGATTTAATCTGGAAAAGTCGACTTCAGTGAATGCAATGCGTGCATTGTGTGGTAAAAATAAGCTGATATGGAATCGAAGTCGAGAAGTTTTGAGGAGGTGGGGTTGGTCTGAGGATGATGTTCTCTCTGCTTTCAGGAAGAACCCGCAGTTTATGATTGTGTCAGAGAAGAAACTGCTGCAGGCAATGGACCTTTTAGTGAATAAGATGGGATGGCCATCAGAAATGATTGCCAAATATCCAGTGGTCCTGAGCCTCAGTTTGGAGAGGAGACTTATTCCAAGGTGTTCGGTTGTTAAAGTTCTATTGTCGAAAGGATTGGTAAATGAAAACTTGAATTTAGGTTCTGTGTTGCTTCCTGCAGAGAAGGAGTTCTTGGGGAGGTTTGTAACCGGATATCTCGAAGAAGTACCGCAATTGTGGGATTTGTATCAAGGGAAAGTGGATATCCAGGATGTATGATATTGATACCTTGAAATGGCCGAGCTTGTATATAGATTTAACCCCCCGAATATCCAGGTTTGTAACCATCACTCACATGTATTAGCTTGCTTTTGGCACAATATTAGAAGGTTGTCTTGTACCCTAGAAATTGTCCCAACGTGTTATTAAATTCTGCTGGAAGTAAATTCATTTGTTCACTTTTCTACTTCATAGCCTGGCTGCTTTTAGTTATACTTATATATACTTTCTTATTAGATGACTTGCTTAATGTTTGCCTTACCGCAGTGGTGTTGCCAATCTCCTGCAGTTTATACATTAACATTGGTTAGCCTTGAAAATTGTTTTCATAGAATACACACATATATTGCTTTTTTTCGGAATTTAATCTCGTCCATATTTGAAGTAATAACATATCAGTAGCTGTCAGCCCTTCATCCCTTGCTCTGATGAAAGAAAAAGCAGCTTGAAGAAGTAATTATCTCTTCTTCTTCTTCTTTTTTCTTCTTTTTTGGTTTGTGGGGGAGGGGTGTGGCGGCACGGTGGGGGTTATGATTGAAGAAGTAATATTTGAGATGAGCTGTGTGTACTTCAGTCAGGTTAGTCTCTGATTGGTATGATTCATGAACATTGACGTTGTAAATAGGAACGCTAGTCATGGACAGGATGTATCTGCATTCTGCACAAAGCGTCTTACACAGTAATGATGTATGACTTTCTTTTCTTCCTTTTCCTTTTAGCATACCATCTTTTAGCTTTTTCCACTTGGTGCAATTTCAAAAATTGTATTAGTTCATGAAGCTGAGGCATTGTGGAGCAATTGTGGAGGACATGAGTCCTTTCTCCAGCATAAGTTTTTGTGTATGGTATGGTGGTAAGACAAATTGTTGTTGATACCTTTATTATGTGTTCCAACTTGATCAATGTCAATTTTGTTTTGCTAAATCCTAAATTCAAATTAGCTTCATAATGATATCCCAAATCCAAACTGATAGGTTGAATGTGATTATGTGAAAAGTCAAATTGTTGTTGATATGGTGGTAAGACAAATTATTGTTGATCTTGATACCTTTATTACGCACCTTAATTGCACATAGTAAATTTGCTGCTCTCATGTTTCAAGTGTCCATGCTTGATCATTTTATATATACTGTGCATATAAAATATTTAGAGCTTAGTTTTATACTTTGCCCTTGAGGATGTGAATTTTTGTGCCCCCCTTTCTAGAATACAATTGGAGAATTTCCTGTTGCGGTGGAGTTGCCTTCCATAATCTGGAAAATCCTTAGAACCTGAAACTAGAAGGTGAGTTCCATCAGTTAGGATAAAAAGAGAGGAGTGGTTGCTGGAAGCATGAGCTTGTAACAGAGAAAAACTTAGCTGTAACCGGTTCACACAAGTTTTTCTCCTTGCGATGACATGATGTATATACATAGCGAGACTAGAGGGCCATCACATGTAGTGTTAACTGGTCATGTATTGTGGCAATTGCGCCTTTGTTTTCGATTACAAGTGATGATTGTGACCTAACCATGAATTCTTGTGTCAAATATTTTAGAGGTATGTAGGAGATTCTTCATTGTTGTTCAAATTGAAATTGCTGGTTTGTACAAAAAGAGTTGCCCCTAATGTGTGTGGCAGGTGTAACTTGCCAAATGTAGGAAGCACCGTACAACTATCCAACGAGCAAACGCAAGATCACTTTCCAACGTTCTGCAAGATGTGTGTGCCACTTTCCTGTACCTCCATTTCCCAAAAAAGGTTCCAAAAAAAAGGTTCCAAAGCCTTCTAACTCCTCCAATAAAATATAAATAGACTTGAACGATTCCAAAAATTACAAAATCTCCTAAGTTTTCAACTTATCACCGCTTTAAGCCTAAAAATTTCTTTTTCACCTGGCTCCAACTAAAATTTCAAATATTTTATGTGGCTTACATTTCACCTGAGCCCTTGGTCTTGAGGACGTGATGCATCAAAAGGCAACTTTTATAGCCAACCCTCTAGCCGTGACCTGAGAACGTGCACCGAAGTTGAGTCTCATGGTGGCATGTTCGTGGTACGTGGTGGTGACCGTAGGAGGCTTCTAACTGTAGGATGTTTTGAGGTGATCTGATGAACCTCACCCGTTTTATATTTTCTAGCAATTGCCATTGAAGAAATCGTGGTTGAGTCTTCGAAATTCACTCTCAAGGAAAGGAAATGTTGGGAACTATTAAGTAAAAAGTAGGAAAGTTTCTTTTGGGTTAAGGGTTCCTCCATAAACCCCCAAAACTACCAATTTTCGTTAGCTTTTCTTGGTATTTCGCCTCTTATCCATATCAAATTGAGTTACTTATGAGGCCTAAGTAGGGAATACTAGCGTCCTAAAACATATGGAAGAAGAGAGATTGTTACGAGATTCATGTTAGTAGTAGTTGTTTCATATGCAAGCAACACTTAACCTAAAGCCACTTCCAAATGATGCTATGTTTGGGATATGAGTACAATAAATGAAACTGCTCTCAAATCACAATGATCCCATTTGTTGGAGGAATGCTAACTCCCAAATCGAGAATAACTTCTACGTAACGAGGATGCTATTATAACAGTATTTCAAGTTAATCACACATTTTTTTGTAAAAAATACAAACACATAATAACGTGTCGGAAAAATATAAACACATAAGAGCGCGTGATTTAAAACCCAAAGAATGACGTTTACTACGGTTGAGGTCACGGTTTTGGTTAAAACCCTTTGAACCCCTGTTTTAGATAAAAAAAAACCCTTCTCGTTCAAAAAGTTAAAATAAACCCTTTGGACCGAAGACCCGCTAGGATTTTAGAAAACAAATTGTTCATCTTCTTCATCGTTTTACAGGGGCACATCTATCATGGTTCTGCTCTTCAAATTGAAGAACCTCAGATTGAGTTGTTCATTATTTTCTTGCTCATTTGCTTCCAAAACTAGAAGCTTTGTGGTTGGAGACCTAAAACCCTCGCATTTCACTCTTCATCCTCAGTTTATTTGCAGATACTTCACCACCGAAATCTCACCAACCCAAAACGATTTCACAGTCACTTACCTCATAAACTCATGTGGGTTGTCCCCAGAAGATGCAATTTCAGCGTCCAAGATGGTCAAGTTGAAAGCCCCAGACAGAGCAGACTCTGTTTTGGCCCTTCTGAGAAGCCATGGCCTCTCTCAACCCCAAATCTCAAAGGTTGTCAAGTGTTGCCCAAGAGTTCTTTCATCCTGTCCCGAGAAAACCCTTTCGCCCAAGCTTCAGTTTTTCAGCTCTGTCGGAGTTTCAAGGGAGGACCTTGCAAGATCTGTGGCCACTAATCCATTGCTCTTGACAGTAAGCTTGAGGGAACGGATTGAACCCACTTATAATTTCCTTAGGAGTATGATTTCTGAGAAAAATATTGTTACTGTTTTCAAGCGCCGGTCGCGGGTTTTCTTGGGCAATCACTGCAACGATGTGGTGCTAAATATTGGGCTTTTGAGAGAACTGGGTATGCCTCAATCTTCCATTTCTGTGTTACTATCTCATTACGTTCATGTTGTGATGAACGAGCATAACAAGTTTGGTGAAGTTGTGGGTGAGGTTAAGGAAATGGGATTTAATCTGGAAAGTTCGAATTTTGTGTTTGCACTAAACGCATTGTGTGGTAAGAACAGTAAGTCAATATGGAAACGCAGTCGTGAAGTTTATATGAGGTGGGGTTGGTCTGAGAATGATGTTCTTTCTGCTTTCAGGAAAAATCCGGAGTTTATGATTATGTCGGAGAAGAAAATAATGCGAGTAATGGAATTTTTAGTGAACAAGATGGGATGGCCGTCAGGGATGATTGCCAAATACCCGTGGGTTACGCGTCACAGTTTGGAGAAGAGAATAATCCCAAGGTGTTTGGTTGTTAAGGTTTTGTGGTTGAAAGGTTTGATAGATGAAAACTTGACTTTGGGATATGTGATTCAACCTGACGAGAAGCTCTTCGTGGAGAGGTTTGTGACCAAATATCAAAATGAAGTACCTCAGTTGTGGAATGTGTACCAAGGGAAAGTTGAAATCGAGGATGTATGATTTTGATACGTTGATGCTTCATCACTCACGTGTATCAGATTGCTTCTGCACAATATTATAAGGTTGCCCATAAGTAAATTTATTGTTTGGTCGCATACTCAATTTCTAGCTGATTACATTTATGTGTACTTTGTTATTAGAAGACCTGGTTGGGTTGGCCTAGCTGCTTTAATTTATATGTACTTTCTTATTAGAATACCTGCTTGACTTGGCCTGCTCCCTTTGGCGTCACCAATCTCTTGCATTTTGTGTTCTTGAGTTTGGTTAGCCTCAAAGTTCATTGCATTACACATATCTTGCATCCATTGTGGTTCAATCAAATTATGAGATATCAACGGTTGTCAGTGCTTTACTCCCGCTTTGTTAATAATGTCCTCCACTTGGTTGATTTGTAGGGGACCAGATCAATAAGGCATTAAAGCTCTGGGTGTGAGCCTTTTCTGATGAGAATTTAATGGTGAGGAACACAATATATTCAGTGCTTGTGGCTGTTGATTGGGTTTTTTAAGTTTAAAAACCCGGGTTTGATGGGATGTGTAATGAAGGGTGATTTGGAAATTGGTATCTTTCGGGATGAATCTATTCAGTAAGCTGCTGGAGGTTTGCTGATCTCAAGAGAATGTTAGTTTTGTGGTATGACTTCATTTTTTTGTTTTAGACATCTTGGCATGCATGCCATTTAGATTCATTTAGTGCTCCAAGCCATGAGGATATGAGTGCCTGAATCTGATTTTCCAGATGTTACTAGTCAGTACAGGCCTATTTCAGAAGTGTAAACATGTGCAATGTCACTGCCAAGAAAATGAAAAAGTGACTTGCAATGCTTTTACCCAATTCTGGATTTGATTCCCGTGGGCAATAGACAATCTGAAGGTTGAGTCTCATTGCAATGATCTTTTCTTTTTCCTAAGATCGCATACGTTTAGCGCAGACAACAACTTATGTAATCAGTTGAGAAATATAACAGCAGGTATATCTGCACCTCTTTATTAATTTTCAAATGGTTGGCACCTTGTAATACTTCTTACAGTGGAAGTCACCTTGTCATGATTCAGTAACGTGTTATAAACATGTTTTGTTCCTTATTTGAAAATATGTGCCTTTATTGCTTATGATGCAGATTGTGACTTTGCCCTAATTTGCAGACACTGAATTCTTTGCCTTGCATATCAATTGGAGGTGCATGTATTCTTATGTCTTTCTTTGAATTTGTCACGTTCTTCAAGTATTGCTGTCTACACTTATCAGTAGACTACATGTCTACGCTTATTAAAGTTGTCTAGAATGGATTTGGAGAAGTTTCTGTATGGAGAGGATTTTCCATTCAATGCTCAGAATTTGGAAAATGCTAATAAGATTTTGAATCAGAACATGTAAGGTCTTGAAGCTAAAATGAAGGTGACTGAATCATCAGCTGGAGACTTGCTCTTGATAGGTAGTATTACTTTTCTGTGGGGCCATGAGCTTCTAATTTCACAAGGCTATCTACTTGGCCCTGTGGCATGGACAAGGTGAGGCTCCAAGGATTCTTATCTGCCTTGAGTAGTTTGGAGATGCTGTAATGTAGTGGTAGGGTTCATGTGACTTGAATTATCTTCATGGAGGAGGGGGAAGTTGGGTTAAGGCAACATAGGTTGCCTTTGGAAGCGTAGCTGCATTCTTATTGCGTGTCTACGGAAATGTACAACCATCTGTACTATGCATCCAGCCTAAAGCAGACTCTTTGCATTTGTACATATGAATATAGATCAAGTCAAAAGCAGACATCATCCTTAGTAGACACAAGAAGAGATATACACTCTGACTTGAGTGGTATCGGATGTTTTTAAATTTCGAATTTGCAATGGCATGGATGTAATGCCCTGATTACTGGTTTTATGACTTCTTGAATTGATGTTATTTCCTTCCTGCATATATTACACACTTTTGTAACATCTTGCTAGACAACTTTCTCTTTCTTTAAGGTGGTCTGTCGTTGAAATAGATTGAGGAATATGCGATGTTATTTTAGTGTAGTTCTAATGAATTTGGTGGATGCTTAGATGAGCCTGTTCAACCTATATACTGGTAATAGGGATCCTACTAATGTGTATGAACGCGTATGTACGTATATTTACATATTGATTTTCAAGCTTTATCGAATCTAAACTAATTGTTTCGGGATGAGCTGTATTCTTGAATCATGTTAGTCATGGACAGGATGTACCTGCAATGTGCAAAGACATGATAAAGGAGTTCATTTTCATTCCTCTTTCTTCTTTTGCCTCGTAGAATACCTTATTTGAGCTTTCCACAAGTTTTACGGATGGTGCAGTAACCGTAGGATGTCGTTTGTTGATGCATTAACTTTTAATTCCAACTTGATCAAGATCAATTTGGTTTTGCTAATACCTAAATGTGAATTATCTTCAACCCTAGACGAAAGTCGTATTGAGTTGGGTGAACCACATAAGATTATGACCTGTTGATCCGATTTTGGGCATCAAACATAAACTTACACCCTTCCAGAGACAAATTTAGGCTAATGATTTCAGCACTCAATTTTAGTCTCATGTACTCCTCTCGTAAGTGCTGAAAAGAATTATAAAATATTCAGTTTGAAGCGCACACGGCTAAAAGAGCAGTGTGAAAATCACTACAACCCTTAAAAGACACAGGCATGTTTTCCTAACTTGCATAACCACTAGCTTATCACATTCTACTTATCTTATCAAATTTATTTACCAAATTAACTTTTATTTCAACAAATATCAAAATGTTACGCATCTCTTGCCAGAACAAATGGTCTCATTAAGCTTTCACATGAAAGTTGACCACTGTCGACTGTCGATCTTATATATGTAGATAGTACATTGGTTTTGTTTTTTTCTTTTTTTATGGGTCTAAAATACTGCTTCGCGCTCGCTTTCACTCGCATTTTTTTCTTTTTTTTTTTTTTTTTTTTTTTTTTTTTTTTTTTTTTTTTTTTTTTTTTTTTTTTGTAGTTGTGGGTAGTTTCACTTGGTATGATTGACAAAAACATTGCAACTGCCACAACTGAATTTTGCCTCCTTGCATTTGGCAGCTGCAGCAAGCATTCCCTTTAGAAACATAACAAAGTAAGCCATGCACAAATTTGAACTCTGGGATTAGATAAACCATATATAAACTAGCATTAATAAAAGAAAATTATGTGTATGCATATGTGTATATATATATGGCTAATTACAAATATATTACTAACTATAAAATTCAAATTTGATCAAAGTTTCTGTGCACATCCAACTCGAAATGCCCAGAAAACGGTTCGAACAAAGCATCGGAGCAATTCGGAAACTCAAAAAACGAATTCGAGAAAGGAAGCTGAGGCAACAACCCATGATCATGATCCACACCCTTCAATTGTTGCTCATGAGTAAACTCATGAACATTTTGATAATGGGCACCTTTGGTCTCCATGAAACGCTCAGCATCAGAGTCTCTACCAGTAAGCTCCTGGACAAGAGCCCTAAACTTAGATGCACTTGTCTTCACCTTCATAGGGCTTGATATGTACACAACCTTCACACCCTTTGATTTGCTTCTCTTGCTCTGCTTGGGGGGGGCTCTTCATGTGGTTCTCACCAAGCACATCCATCACCCTTTGAAGTTCAATGTGTACAAAAAAAAGTGTGTCTAAGAAAGTGTGGGCAGAGGTGGGCACGAATTGTGAGGGCCAATTTTCCCTAGGCTTGCATAAGCATATATAAGGTACGGATAAAGACTTTTGAGGTCTCCTGGGTGTTTCTAGGAAGGAGAGGACGGAAGAAAAATGCAGGGGTTTGATTCATGAAATTGGAAAAATGGAAAGTATAGAAGATTCTTGTAGAGATACTTACATGACCCGCATGCTTTTAGATATTTTGTGCCACCTGGCGTTTTTCATAAATAATTTAATATACGAAATAATTTTTCGGTGAGACAGTAATACCTTCATATTATATTAGTAGGTTTATCGTGTTAGGACGTGTGTGAATTTGTTTATATTATTATGTAAATATGAATATATTGTAGCTATTTTATAGTAATTATGTTGTCCATTCATGTTATAACGAGTCAATTAATAACAATATGTGTCAGTATTCCAGTACCACGTAATAATCTCTTAAGATATACGGTATAGGTTAAGGCTTGATTTATTATTAAGGCAGGGTTTCAACGTAACAAAGCAACTCAGCAAGTCTGGATAACACTCACGTGCGCAGCCTCCTATGACTTGAATGAAAATTTGGTTTCGTGGAGTGTTGGAATCTCAGACGTGGCTGTGTGGTATTGGTTAAAGATAATAGGGTCGGCTTGTGGAATTTGTGGTGGGTTATAAATTGACCAATTAACTTGGGGTATGGTTATCTATCACATGTGTTAAAAATACCAATGATGATGGGGTGTGTGTTTCTCCTAATCCTCAAGATAAGATCTGATGAATATAGTTTTACTATTTTATTTACAAAGATATTATAAATGCGAACTTCGATGCAAGGAGACTGGCATTTCACTTTGTTCAAGTAGAGAGAGACTTTCATGTAACCGGAATAATACTTTTTATTATTCCCAACCAATAGCGCAATAACACGCAAGATAACTTTTTCATATGTCATTATATTATTTGTCGAAATAGCAAAACAGTGGTATTCTGTTACAATAAAATAGTTCTAGTTTAATGGGACACCTTGTCAAATGTCTTCTGCCTTAGTTTACTAAAGCAATGTACTTATAACTTTATAGAGAAAAATGTACCTTAAGAAATCATTTCTACTTTGTATTCTTCTTCTTGCTATGGTGATTACATACCTACTTGGTTATTCTATTCTGAAAAAAATTGAGAAAATATTATTCAACCAATATCACATTAAGAAATCATTCCTACTTTTGTTGCCAACACCACCCATCTAGAAGACTATTTATTTGCTCCTTTCTAGAAATTTCTTAATTTATTTACATATATTTCTGTTTGGATCTGATGGTTTTTTCTTTTGAATTTCTTTCAAGGGATGTTTTTCAACTTTTCTAATCTATTTATTTTATTTATCTATTAAGAAAAAACATATGTTCACACGTATGGTGCAACACCATGAGACCACGTGGCAAAAACACAACCACTCAATCATAGATGGATGATGATTTTGAATATTTTTATCAAGAAGTATAATGATTGTATGTGAAATGAAGTCATGTTGGAGATCATCGTGGCTTGACCTTCGAGAAATACATCGTATATGCAACTTGCAAGTTATCTCTCAAAACTCCACTGTCACGTCACCCACCATTTTCAACAGGGTCCATTTCCAAAGAAACCCTTTTGTCTTTTTTCTTTTAAAAAACTAGTGATTTTATTATTTATTATATACATGAATCTAGGTCATCGTAAGAGAAAACTTTGTACATCTCTCTTCTACTACTTGGGAACACCGGCTAGATTGCAGCCGTGATTGTGCTTCATTATTATTTCTCATATGAATAAACGACATGCTTATACTTTATGGTATCTTAAAAAGAATTCTTAGACTTGTGACTTTGATAATTGATTCTCCCAAATCCTAGCCCCTTTTCTTCCAAAAATCCCTCTTAGAGCCGTTTTCACTTTGAAGGGGGAGGAAATGTTAAGATAGGAAGATTGAAAAGAAATATAGAGCAAAGAGAAAAGAAATAAAGCTGAGAGAGAGCCTCGTTCACATGTTCTAACTTCTCTAACCTTCTCTTATCAATACTAACAGTTTTCCTAACTGCATAACAGGTCTAACAATATCTCAACAAGTTTATTATTTAGGGAGTTTCACTAAAACACCCAAAATGGGGGTTGAAATTATAAAAAAACTCAACACCAAAAACACTTTATAAACACACCCAAAACCCATCATTACACACACTTAAAACCCATTTATAAACACGCCCAAAAAATATACAATTGTTGATTTTAGATGTGTTTCTATGTTTAAATAGTGCTTGGGTTTTTTGATAAATACATGTCTAGGATTGGGTTTATTTATAAATTTGTATATTATTTAATCTTCTGACACGTGGCATCACTAGGACCATTGATATCTTTACAAGGAAGCCAATGTTCTTCCTCCCCTCTCCCCTATTCTCTTCCCCCCCTTTCTTCACTCCTCATTTTCAGAGACAAAATGTTTTCCCTATTTGTCTTCGTTTTGTTATTATTTTCCTCCAACCATCACAGTCAGGTGCATCTCAACATTGAATATCCACTTGCATTTCGGCATCGTATCTCCACCACCATCCTTTTAGCGGTTTCTTTATGTTTGGAATAAGTTACAGAGACTTTTTGGGTTCTCTATGTAGTTTTCACCTCTCCTTTTGTGAGAGCTTTTCACATTTTCTTTGTAAGAGCTTTTCATCTTTCTTTTGTGTGACTTTTCATCTCTCCTTTATGAGAGCTTTACTTGTATTATTATGGTTTGGTTTTTTCAACCTTTATCTCTTTTTGATTATTCTGAGTTTACAATCTTAGTTGGGACATCTATACCAGAGTTTCTTCGATTATGTGTGACAGTTAATGGAGGCGTACCAAATTGTCATAATTTTGATATTAGAATGTTGAGTTATTGTAATGACTTTTTGTGGCTAGTTTATATTGGCCTTTTGTGCATAGTGGGTTTTTTGGCTGAATTATGAATGCAATCTTAGAATTTCTCAACTAAAATATATATATATATATATATATATACAGTCCCTATTGAGGGGCGCCCTTAGGGTACCCTACAGTTTTTTTCATAATGATCCAAGCCATCTATTTTTTAGGTCTTCATTCATAGATCATCCTTACAAAAAATTAGACAAATCGGAAACCATTTCGACATCCAATTGTCTTACAAAATCAATGAACACGATGCTTCAATAAAGTACTAAAATTTCAATAACTCAAATGAGTGGTCAAATAATATTGGATTCAAGTAATTTTTTGTATAGATGATCTTTGAATGAGTATCTACAAAATAGATTGTTTGGATTAGTGAAATACAATTCGAGTGGGGCCTACAAGGGGTCCCTCAAATAAGCTTATTTGAGAGACACCCTTCTAGGGCTCACTCTGCATTGTATTTCACTAATCCAAACAGTCTATTCTTTAGATAATCATTCAAATATCATCTCTATAAAAAAAAATCACTTGAATCGATATCATTTGACCACCCAACTGAGTTATTGAAATTTTAGTACTTTCTTGAAGCACATTGTTAATTGATTTTGTAGGACAATATTGGAAGAGGGGGATCTAAACATAAATATAAATAGATTGACAATACCACATGATTACATTTCTCATTAATGGCATGTTTACTAATCCGTAATTGGATTAGGAGGAATTGAATTGATGATGAATTGAATTGAAAAGGAATTGAATTGAGGAGAATTAGATTCTGGATTCAATTCCTAATTTTATGTGAGCCTCACTTACTTTTCAACTCCTTTATGTGAAGTAAACGCAGGAATCCTCTATATGTGGAATTCAATTCCTAATGAGAATTCTAATTAGTAAACACACCATAAAAAGTTATGATGAGATAAACCAACTAATTCTTATGTTGTATGCATATTTCTCTTACCAAATATATGACGAAACAAATATATGGTATATCAACATACATTAAAACAATAATTCACCTGATAAGATGTTCAGGTTAATTATTTTTCCTTTTCTTGTTTTGCCGAGAGACTTGGATTTGTAGCATAAGAGTAAGATTTTGCAAAGTGAAAATGGCTGACCATGAAGCAATTGGTTGGTTAGTTCTTGGTGCCAAAGAGCTAGCATGGCAAGAAGAATGGCTCAAGAATCAGGGTAAGTTGGCAAACCTTTCTTTCATAGTACGTATATCTCTCTGAAATCAACTGCTGTAAATAGGATAGAACTTGAGTACCAAACATTGCTCGATGTGAAAATTTGATTAATAAAAGTCAAAGCCATCATGCATTTCATTATCCAAAATTCATTTCAAAACTCAGTCAGAATTACATCAACAATCATAACTATTATTAACAATAAGCCAAATACATGTGGATCATTACCAATGGCACTACTGCGTCTTATAATGACTACAATGAAGGTAAAAAAATTACAGGATTAGCACTAACGATACAATTTATGCGGCTACGGCATCCGAAAAAGTTTTTAAAAAAATCTATAGAAGAAAATTCTGTAACCATGTCCAAGTAATACCAGTGCTGTACTAGAGAAAGTCAATTACTATTCAGATGCTTTGCAGACCACAGTTTTACCAATCAGTTTGGGAGCAACTGCAAAAGCATTTCACTCTCTTGGACGGGCAAGCCAGAGCGAACTAAGAGCCCGTAGCCGCGAGAAATAATCGTTTATAGCCAAAAGGGCACGAGCTGACTGGCGGGTGGTCAATATACGATGCATTTGTTGCAGTGTTTGTTGCCGCAAATTGTCAGCCTGATGTTATTAGCCCGTCAGTAAATAAGGCACTTTAACAAGAGAGATTGAAAAGCATTAAATATATATTTTTTATGCTTATTTACTGTTTCACTTCCTGAAACGGACGCTCGGTCTCACTTTACCCCCTTCAACTGAAATTTTCTTACTTAACCCTTTGAATCTCTAAAAATTGCTGAAATTTTTTCACTTTACCACTTCCGTCCATTTCCATCCACAAAACTGTTAAATGTGCTGACGTGGCATGGGCATTCTAGTAATTTTAACTCCTTATCTTCTCTCTCTCCCTCTGCCTCTCTCTTCTCTCCCCTCTCAGACCCAACCTCCATCGCACCTCCCCCTCCTCCCTCTTCTCTCTCCTCTATGCCTCTCTTCTCTCCCCTCCCCTCGCCATACCCAACCTCAAACCTAACCCTCCATGGAATTACTCAGCACACCCAAACCACCACCACTCAAAATTAAAAAAAACTCCTCAACAACTGCTCCCCATCTTCTATCTTGGCGCAGAGAGAGAGAGAGAGAGAGAGAGAGAGAGAGAGAGAGAGAAGAGGAGGGAGGGGGTGGGGTGCGATGGAGGTGAGAGAAGAGAGGCAGAGGGGAGGGGAGGGGTTGGGATGCGATGTAGGTGCGCTAGGGGTTAGGTCTAGGGAGGGGAGGGGAGGGGAGGGGAGAGGAGATAGGCAAAGAGGAGAAAGAGATAGAGAGAAAAAAGGAGAGGAGGGAGGAAGGGGTGAGATGCGATGGAGCTTGGGTTCGGGATGGGAGAGAATAGAGGGGCAGAGGGACATAGGGAGAGAGAAGAGAGAAGATAAGGAGCTAAAATTACTAGAATGCCCATGCCACGTCAGCACACTTAACGGTTTTGTGGATGAAAATGGACGGAAGTGGTAAAGTGATAAAATTTCAGCAATTTTTAAAGATTCATGGGATTAAGTGAGAAAATTTCAGTTTAAGGTGGTAAAGTGAGACTGAGCGTCCATTTCAGGGGGTGAAACAGTAAATAAGCATTTTTTTTTAACCCAACAGTGCAAAATGATTTATAGGTTTTAAGCGGGTAAAATAAATTCATGCCCAATGTCTTACCCTTCACACTGAAAACAATGACAAAAGAGGTTTTGACAGGTTGATGGCTGATCTAAAACTATCCTTTCAGAAAAATTATTCATTCCATGAACCCAATCAGTTTAAGTCACGTCCAAAGTACAAAATGTCCATAAATATTTAAAAGAAAAAAAAAAAAAAAAAAAAAAAAAAAAAAACAACAACAACAACCACCATTTCAAATAATACATATTTCAGAAATCCAACTAAACATCTAGCTGTTCTGACGTTATCACATTTCCGAGAAAGAAGTTAAGCTGGCACTGGTCAATGGGCTTTTTGATTCTTTTCCTATCTTTTTCTTTGATGTGTTTATGCAGATTACCAGTTTCATTCGTAAGGCTAGTATTTGTGTATTTCATGTTATAGTACTGACTACTGAAACGAATAACCAAATAAAGAACTCTAATGAATTACCTGGCGGATAAACCCTTCAAGGGTCCCTAGCTTTCCCATTGCCATGGCCATTTGACCCATGTAGTTTGCCACATTCCCAGAGGAACCTGAGGAGCCAAGAGATCCACTGGACAAAGTCTCCGCTAGAGATTGTTGCAATGCATCCATCCCTTGAGATAAGGCATCTTCTGCCTGTTGGGAGGATTGCTGCAAGTTGGTTATCCCCACCAACTGCTGCTCTGTTAGAGGCTCCAGCTGATTAACAAGAAGCTGCACACATAATCATTCATTTTAATTTTATAAGCCGGATTAAGACCAACAAATTATTCAAGACATCAAATACAAAACAGCCATGGTTCATAGAATACTTACAAAGAAAAATATAAAAAAATACAGAGCATAAGTTGAAACTTCTAGCAAATAGAAATTGCAAGTGCATAATATCAACCTAGAAAGTAGCGAAGTTATGGATACAGAAAATGATTTCCACTGGATGTTAAGAGAGATTTGAGAACTAATATGAATATCTGATCATAACAGGGGAATAACTGAATAAGAATATGAAACAAGAGTTAGCAAAGCACTGCACCTATATTGAAAAGCAATGCATCTTTATGCCCAAGTCTTTATCCCTTCCACAGTAACATGGGGATAAAAATATCCTACCATTTATCCTAAAATGAATGAGTCCAACAAAGAGTACATTTGCAGAACATACATCTACAGTGACTACCAAACTAAAAAGACACAATGAGATGGAATTCTTCCATATCTAATACGAGTGACAGATTGGTATATAACCCGAGAAAAAAAATTGAAACTCGAAAAATGGGCGGACCACAAGGCTCGGATTCACCTACAAACAAGACTTTTGAATCGTACATAATTTCAAGAATTTTAATTGAATTCACATGCAATTTTTTTTTCCTTTTCGGTATCTTTTGAACACTTCAGCTAATTCTCATTTCCATGTCTCGCCTTGTTATTCCTCATTACAAGTTCAAATGACTAAACTGAAATGGGGAATCTTTCGATTCAACAGCATTCCAGAACTACACCTATGATATCGAAGCAATCAAGATATGATAAAGAGCCTCACCTTCAGGAGCTCAGATGAACGAAAACCACCAAGCCACAAGAAACACCTCTCAGCAGGTGTTTTCCACATGCCAGACAACAAATGGAATACATCAGCTTTAGCTGCTGTGCCCTTCAGCCTAAAGATCTCATCATAGTGCGCCAAGATTCCATCTACAATAGTACGAAGCTCTGCATCACTTGCATGAGAATTTACTGCTGATCTCAGTTCATTAATTTGCCGATTTTGCTCTTCCTGCCACCGTCCATATTCTACATCAAACGCCATGGCCCCTGCAACGAATACAGTGAACAAGATAACCTACCTCATCCACTGGAACTAAAGTAAGAGAAGAGGACCAAATTGAAAAACAAGATAATACTATATTTTTGTCTTAAGCCTGTTTGCATGCAAACAAACACTTGAATTGCGTTAAAATGCACATTTTGATAAAAATTTAATAATAAAAAAATGTTTCATGGCAATCTCACCATTTTTATACTTCTATATAAAATTGGAGTGATTGCATATTCCACTTGAAAGGTATCTGAAAGTAAATTAGCCAGGTTCATGTATGGAATAGAGTTATGATCGAAAATTACTATTCTCAACTTTGGTACAGACCCATTAACCAAAATTATCTAGAGACTGAAATTTATAATTTTAAATAATACCCTCTCACACGTCAATTTGCCCCTTAGTGGAAATTTATAAATTACATATAAAAAAGATGATAGGAGAAGGTGGGGCAGTTCGCGGGAAACTTTATATAGGGCAGATCTTCTAATCAAAGATGTTGGTATAAAAATTACTTTCTAATAAATACCCCAAGGTTCTTTCCTTCTTTTTTTCTGTTAAGGGTAGAGAATTCCCATTGAATATTTCTTTCAATAAGAAACACAAAACCAGAAAATACAATGTAAGGTGGACAAGAAATCCATCAGCATAATATGACAATCTGAAACAAAATCACATAAAACACTCAAAATATCAAGGTCACACAATCATTAATAATGAATGGGTGGCCTTTAAAATGCTTAGTCGAAGAACCCCGTAGGAGCTAAATATCTAATCCAGTCCCAAAGTAACTCTGCATCTTCTTCCTTGCCCCCTCCAAGAGCCTCCTATTCCTTTCCAGCCAAACATTCCACATAAGAGCCAAAACAGCATATCTCCAAGGAGAGAGCATCTTTTGCCTCAACGAAAAAACCCACTGACAACAATGAAAAACAGTTCCTCACACATCCACATCATATTCTAACTCCTCCAACAAGTGATCCCAAATCTTTCTAGGAAACAGAGAATGTATAGAAATATGGTCAGCATTCTCCCCTTCCTTTTGCACAATACAACCCAATCAGGTGATCAGCATGAATAGGGCCTTCTTCTTTGAATCATGTCACAAATATCTATTTTCTCATCTACCACCAGCCGTGTTAAAATTTGCACCTGAGCTGGAACACCAGCCTTCCAAATCGACCTAATTGCTTAAAGGGAGGACCCGATTGATTGTTGACCAATTGAAAGAAAAGATATTTACAAAAAAAGTTACCAGAGGAGAGAACAGACCATGGTCCTTCATCAAAGCAATTTCCAAGGAGACGCTGTTTACACAAGAAGACAAGTCCATACATTCCTGGAACTCTGTCTCACTCAAATTTCTCCAGAATTGTAAATCTCAATAGATCGTATCGATAGAAGAAAAAGAGGCTAAGGAAGAGATCAGTGTATTGCAGATCAAAGAAATCCAATGCAAACTAGGAAAATAAGGATTGGAAAGACAGCTAACCGTTCCAAATGTCTTCCCAAATTTGACTTTATTTTGATTACCCACAACAAATTTCACCAAAGGACCAAGGACATCAGACAGAGCCTCTCTCATCAACCGAATAGTCCCACCCATTATCATGGACTCCATACTTACTTCACATGGCCGATGCCCACCAGTTTTGCTCAATAGGGAACCTCCAAAGCCACTTAACTCCCTCCCTCTTTTTTCTCCTTACTTACTTCCTAATGAACTTATGATGAACAGAGATACAAAATTCGCACAAATTCAAATGAGAAAATTTCAGATATTTGTTTCATAATGGAGTGGGATCACTGGTACATCTAATCCAACATATTTGACAATGCTGTGTTAATCAGCTCTAAGTAGTAACTGTTTGTTAGAACAAAAGTTAGCACTTGACATGTACAGAAAGCTGTGATATACTTGCCATCACATTCAAATTCATTAATAAAGCACATGTGTAAGATGTAACTAGCTAGTGTCCCACCTCATACTTAAATTGAAACGAGTAGTTGCATAAACATGTAATGAGAAGCATATACTCCGAACTCCAACACATATGCAAAAATTTAGCTCAGCGAGAGCTCTGTAATGTTACTACTACATGAGCCAACAAAATTTAGTGTAGAAGCTAATGAAATTTAATACCCTAACATCAGATTGTTATAATCAAGTCCTACCATGCAATATAGTAAATTATATAAACAAAATATAAGCTTTCATTACGCAACACAACAAGACAGATTTGCACCAAATTGTTGAGTAGTTCATGGCACTCATTATGTTCTTCATGCAATTAAAAATTAAAAAATATATAATTTTATTAATTTGGTTCTTTTCCTGAGCACAATAATAACCTACCAAGAATACAAAATCTGATTGCTAATAGATTCAAGAGCTTATTAGCAGGGAAATCAAGAACCACGCATCAGAATGTCCATAACCACGCATCAGAATGTCCATAACCACCCTGTCACTATAGCAAGTAGCAACTACGACCATGGACAAATATCACCATCAGGCAACTGCCCCAGCTCCATTTACCAAATGATACACTCAGTTAACGTTTCACTGGTGGAACCAGCATCATAACCACCATTAACCCAATACTACCAAATCATGCACAACTGCTACTGTCTATTTTCAACAATTCCTTAACCAATACCTCTGTATTGCACACAAGCATTCAAGTACGCCTCTAGAAGCTAAGAGTTGCTATTAAAACTCTCCTGATAGAACATTGACATGAGAGAGAGAGAGAGAGAGAGAGAGAGAGAGTACACATAGACCTAAATTTCAGTTAAGAAATTGAACTCACTCCGATAATTTCTTAACAATGACATATGTAAGAATTCACTCTGATCCCATACCTAGTGCAAAGTAGTTTCAGTTAACTATTTCCACTAGCATATGATCATGTGGTTGAGCTACTCATGGCATATGCTATTTCTACACTATCTTTTTCTCAAGTATAATTATTTCATCCATATAAGAATCAAAGAACAAACGTTGATTTAATATCATGCCAAATTTTACAAAATTTGCATGAAATGCTTAAGATTAATATCTTGCTACTCGTTAAATTAGTTCTCCCACCATTTTCAGGAGCTAGTCTACCTTACTTCCAGGAAAAATTTCAAAATCCAAACCTCAGGGAAGAAGGAATACCATTTCCACTCATAGAATGGGCAGCATCTCCTGAACTTGATATGAAGATTCCCTGAACAAAGTAAAAATAGAAACTTTAGGAGAGATGCAATCGATGCACACCTAACAGAGGTCATTTACTGGGAATTCTAGGGGCTCTAAACACATTTGTTGTTATAACAGTAAAGAAGTTAATTGATTTGACCTGCTGTCTGGCTCGCTGGAGCTCTTGCTCTAGTTGAGTGAGCTTCAAACGACTACTCTCCAGCTGCTGAACATAAGCCTACAGTAAAACAAGCACAGATTAAACTCATTAAAGACTTGCAAAAACTAGGCACATAGCATAAGGGCTCAATGACCGGAGATAAACATGAAGATCTATTCTTTTCCTCCATTTATTTAATAAATGAAAGCACGCTGCTCCGAAGAGAAGATACAATAATAAAAAAATTCAGACAAGGCATATAAAACAGGAGACAGTGATCGCGGCTTCCACTCTCTTATACAATAAAATAGTATGAACCAAACACCAAGCCATGCACTCATCATACCTTAACTACCTACGACACCTATTTTGTAGTTCCTCTGAATGGTTATGGGGCAATATTGCTAATCTAACAGCAGAGCTTAAACCGCACTACGATTGATTGGTAGGTGCTGCAACCAAGTACAGATCTCGGGCTTGCTGGTTCCAAGGCCAAAGCTAGAAACCCATCTTAAGAAAAGCTAAGAATTGAAACATATTAAATTGCATAAGCTCCAAAACAAGATGACTCACATGCAGCCTCTGTTAAAGCCCCAGATGGAGACCAGCCATGATGGGTCCACAAGTCAGACCCAAACAGACAAGATCTGTCCATGTCTGCCACCCAACGAATCAAGGTTAATTGGCAGACCAGCAAGGAGGTATGACATCCCAACAAGAGAAGGAACTTAATACCCTTGGAGCAAGAAACCCGCAAACTAAAATTCCCCTAAGAATATGAGCTCTTCTCCTGGGGAATATAATGGGTAGCCCTTAAGAAATATATATTTACTTAAATCAAAAGATTGGAACTAGCTATAAGAGACAGACTCAAGTTATATGCAGTCCACTTCTGGGAGTATCAAACTGAAAGTGCTCCTACTTACAAAGGACATTTTGGCATTCATAAGGCAAGAAAGAAACTAACTTAAGAAAATATCAAGGTGAAAAGAGAGTTAGGAATGCTACACCACCCAAACGGGAAATTTTAATTAATTACCAAGCCTTATAATTTATGTCAAACTTAATATGTGCACAATGATATGCTTTGAGCCAATCAAATCAATTTGAAAGGTCACTTCAGAGATTGAAGTGATGATGCGGATCTCTCCACTCAAGTCAGGAAGGGATGATTGTTGGGTTTGGTCCTTCCTTAGTGGAGGAGGTTTTCTTTTGGGTAACTTGTTTGGGTTTCCTTAGTACAAGGGGTGTATCCTATTGGATAGGGCTTGGCTTAGTATTAAATCTTGAGTGTTTTTCGCTTGTACTTGTTTTCTCATATATAATGAGGGTGAAAACTCTCCGTGGTAGGTCCACCTATCTGTTTTCTTAACTCAACTGGGATTCTTCGCATTGGACGGTACTTCAAGAATAGATGGGGATTAGTATCAACTTGAAGTCCTCGATAGACATATGTAAGCATTGTATTTGCTGCACATAGCTGTATTTTGCCGACCACATTAATTCTTGGTGTGCTTTGTTTTATTCTCTCTTTGTCATCTTGCCGCTTTATTTTTATTTTCTTACCATCAGTTTAATTGTCGTGACGAGGTGATTCAATTCACAAAAATTAGTGCAAAGCTACACCTTATCCTAAAATATCTAACATTGATGAACAGAAGTCCATATATGCAAGGCCCCAAGGAAGCTAGCTTTTACATACCAAGTAACTTCCAGAAAACCATATCTTAATTCTTGACCAACAATCACATCCAACGCATGCGACACTAACTAGTTCAACAAGTATGTTGCAAATGAAGAATGGGTGACCAATCATATGAGAAAGCTGAAATTAACAATCTCAATAACTGCTCATGATGAAAAAAATTGAAATTTTACCTTTTGTTAAAATTTTAGGAAATTATTCCACAGAAGGAAACCAAGAAAAACAGTCAACAAGATAGGAATATCCACATGGACCTTTCCTTCACCGCCAGCTGATTATGATCGTTTACTAAAATATTAGGACCACGAACAGGTTGATAGACTTATCGGATTAGAGCTGACTCATGCTATTGAGTAAACCTAACGTCTTTTTTATTATTCCTCAAACAAATAAAGATATAAACCTTCTAAAGAAAGTACAAAGAAGGCCTTACTTTCTTCCTCAGTCGACTTTTTCTTGCAGCCTCACGATTTTGAGCAAGCCTACGAAGAGTCTGCAAAACACAATCGAACAAATGAGCATCTTAGCCTGCTATATTCGACTCACATATGGCAACTTCGTAATTGAATTTCTATACATCACCTTCTGATCTTTTGGATCTTTTGATTTGTCACTGGAATCAGAACCCGCAGGACCAATGGTGTATTGCACTACGTCAAACTGCGCACACAGAGTGATCAAAATGTCAGATGGGCAACAAATATTAGTTAACATCTACAGAAAATGTCCCACTCAGAACAAGTGGCGAATGGTTATTGAACTCAAGCATAACAAACAACGCTCAATAAAAAAGAGTGGGTTAGAGTTGAGCAAACACACAGAGTAGGTTAGAGAGAGAGAGAGAGAGAGAGAGAGATTACCCTTTGATTCTTATCATCTGTATCCACATCTGTAGAAATATCAGTCCTGGGACTGCCATCAGCCATGGTGGATTCTTCCCAGTTCTCAATATCACTACTTGATACAGAACCAGATAGAAAGGTTGACCTTTTTAGTGACTGCAAGCCTCTGACGGCGGATGAGAAGAACTGTTTTGATTGGCCAAATCAGCAGAAATGAAGAAACAAAACGAAAAAAGAAAAACTACCCACACAAAACAAAGAAATCAAATTTGTAGAGATACTACCATAAACGAAAAAACCCAAAATGGAAACTTCATCACTTGAAAGGAAATCCAAGGAGAAAAAGAAAATAAACAAACTTTGAGATGTTAGCAGAAGTTCTTGTGTCCTGTGGAGGCGATCAGAAGAAGAAGCAGCTGCTTCGCGACCACTTTACTCTCTTCCTGTTGTGTTTGTTGAATTCAACACAGTAGTATCTGCATCAACACATGTCCTAAAAACTTTGACTCAGGAATCGGGAGGAGACAGGAGGGCTCTCCACCCACTTTCCACTTAAGCACAAAATTTGGTCTTTCCCAGAGAGACAAAAAAGAAATATAAATTTTTACCATAATAATTCGTAAATTATTATGACACAAAGAAAATATAAAATAAAATAAAGTCTTGGGGCTGCTTTTAGGATTAGGAGGGGAACCCTTATTTGCTACTTGAATGATAGTGCCAGTATCTTGCCAGAAATACCGGTGAAGTTCTTCTGAACCGATAAAATTGAAAATGGTTGGGATAAAAAAAGGAAAAAAAAGAGGTGTATTTAAAATTTAAAATTAGTAAAGGTAAACATTTACAATTTAGACAATTTTACAACTTTAGCAAATAGTCCACCTGACCTGAATCAAACCGCTTTCCATCATAAATGTCCATGACAATTGTAGAAAGGCAATTATTGCTAACTAATGGCTTGTGATAATCAATTATGAGAAGGTTAAATTGTAAGAACCCCATGTTATTTTTTCTTTAAAAAACATAAATAAATAAAAAGAACCCATTAAGTGCGCGCATCACTACTTGTCATCTCCAAGGGAAATGTCAAATACCAAACATCAAATTTAAATTTGATGGCTGATGTGGCAATTTGACATCTTACATAGCTTTACACTCCATCTAATATGTCAAGTTAAATTGTTATTTTATTACATTTTAGTGTTGATTTATTTTTAATTAAAAATTAAAAATATATATTCATTTGAAATATTTCTTTTGGGATGTCAAAAATAATATATCAACCTCCAGCCTTCATTCAACATCGGTTGGAGTGATGTGAGATGTTACTTTTAGCCGTTAAATGTCTATGTGACACTTTTGACACATCGATTGGAGATGCTAGAACTCTTTATTCTTATTGATCTAATTAATTATACATATATATAATTACTACTATGAAACAAAATTTCAACTTGGAATTACTCAAGGTTATAAATAAATGATCACAGCTGTTTAATTTTTAGGTTCTTTCTCACATATCTACTCATATAATTGTTAGGGGAGGTTTTCTATAGTAAAGACATCCTATTCTGGGCTATAAATAAATGATCGCAACCGTTTAATTTTTAGGTTCTTTCTCACATATCTACTCATATAATCGTTAGGGGAGGTTTTCTATAGTAAAGACATCCTATTCTGGGCTATAAATAAATGATCACAACCGTTTAATTTTTAGGTTCTTTCTCACAAATTATCCATGCAAAAATCAGCTACATTAGAAGAAAAAAAATATTGTGTTTTTGTGTTTTTTGTTAATTAATGGAAATTGTTTAACCATTTGATTATCTACATTTTTATTTAAATTTAATATAACAAACTACTTTTGTGCACATTTTAGATGACCAAACAACTTCCAACCTGAATAATTTTTTTTATAGAAATGATGGCTTAAAATATAGACAATTCCAATCCTTACATTGTTGGTTAGCCTAGAAAAGATGTGTGCACCTTTTTTTTATACAATAATGACATCATTAACACATACAACTTACGTATTGAAATTTAAACCCTATTTACTATTAATAATTAAGATATTGACACAATGACACTTAATTTAATACTCAAATTTGATATCTTTTTGTTTTTTACAAATGATAATTCTACTTTAAACTAATCTAAACTACGGGAATGAGAATTCGAACTCTGGTGTGGGGAGCACATCCGCTTCAGCCAACTTGGTTAAACCCATGTCTGTAAATTTGATATCATTAACATCACTAATTCTTGTATGTATAAATGTATGGTTGATGTATATACATCTTACCCAAGTAAAAATTATATTATAAAACAGTTTCCCCCAACATGTTTTATAGACAAATTCTTTTTTTTATATATATAAGGTTTTATACACAAATGTACCATTTTTCTGAATCACCTTCTACCAACAAAGTTATAATAACACAAAAAAGGAAAGATATTTTTGAAGCACCTCATACCAAAATCACCTTACAAAGTGGCATTAAACTATCATTGTGGATAATCTTCTATTTATTTATACCACAAAAATATTTGAACCAAACCCACTTGGATTTCGGTGATGATGATGGAAAAAGTTACGAGAGAGCCGAGAAGAGATGTGCTGCATTTAAATTATTGCAATCTCTAGACGGCTCCTTCTGTTAAAAAAAACAATTAGAAATCGTCCACTTTCCTAGGACATTATTTTTTATTTTTTTAATTGCCTTTTCTAATGTTCAGTTTTTTCTTTTTTTTTTTTTTTTTTTTTTTTTTTTTTTTTTTTTTCTTTCTTTTTTTATTTTTTTTTTGCTGAAAATTGTGTCAGCATCAATACTGCCAAACTCGTTTACAACTCAGAGTCAGTTGAGGAGTTCAAATCCTCTGCATCTAGTCTCCACTAGCCACTCCCACTCCCTCTGACTCTCCTCTTTCCCCGAAGGAGGACCGTTCGGTGGCAATTTTAAAGGGCCGTTCTCATTATTTGAGCCCCAAAAAGAGTGAAAATGAGGAGGTTTCAAGAATTCTATAATAAGGGTGTTATCTGGGCATTTCTAGCGGGAGGAGCTAGTCATGCTGACATCATTATGATGTCAGCAATCAATTTAAATACTAAAAATTAATTAAAAAATTAAAAGGAAAAAAAAACCAAAATTTTATGAATTTTTTTTCTTATAAATACCTAGACATATTCTTCACTTTCCACACCAAAACTCCATACCAATTCCTCTCTTCATATCTCATGTGAATAATAGTTGTCCTTTAGTTTCTATGACAATGGTGAAAATACATCAAAAAAATTGCTAAGACAATCACTATTCACATGAGCAGTAACTACCCTTACCTCCCCTTGCCTTTTGCCATGGGGAACGGGTAGAAGTACTTTAAATGTGGCCCTATTTCTTAATCATTGGATTAAATTGGTTAGTTGTTAGATCAAATTGATTAGTTTGATCCAACAGTTAAGAGATAAGACCTCATCTAAAAGCCTTAGATAAGGTCCTCACTATAGAACAACTCCTAAAAAAGGCTTCTTTTTTGCCAAGGTAAATTGGCCCATGCTAGAGTATCAGAACAAGAGAATATGCGGAACCAGAAAAGTGTGAACTCATCAACGATGACTGCATAAATTTCTAAATTTCAATCCCCAGAATGATGGTCACCCAACAATTTAACCAGATTGGCCTGCAGATAAGATTATAAAGGGAAGCCATACACAAGACCCTCACAGCATCCAAAAATAAATAGCAGAACAATAAGCTACACAGCTCAACCAGTGACATTACTGCACCTAGTTTCTTGTTTTTTCATAACATTAATTACTTCATAAAAATCAGAAATTCATTTATGACCCAGTGACCTTAACAATCTACATCCAACAGAGAGATACAAAAAACATTGTCAAGTACACCTTTATTTAGGAAGCCCCAAAAGCAAAGTCTCATGTGAGCACATCCAGGGAGCAGCGGAAATTCAAAATAATTGCTCTTATAAAAATCTTTGAGAAAACCAGAGGCCCCCTGATCCTTGGTGCCCGAATCCTGCACAAGCCCTTGGTGACCCACCACATACTGGCCAATGATGTGGTGTCGCTGCTTTGCATGCTCAGTGATGTTATTTAACTCTTCCATTGCCTTGAAGAGAAGCATATCGATGACCTGCAAATTAATACTATCCAGAAAATGAGAAATGTTTATAAGCCACAAATCAGAATAACATTTAGCAAGCAGGTGCAGGTAGTGCCTAAATTCCTGGTTATAGTTTCCACAATTCTGATTGTGTGCCCGCTAATATACAACCAACTCAATGTAGAAAATCTTCGCAATTTATTCAACTCAATAAATCTGGCATATTACTAGCCAGGAATGAGACGTCAAAGTGCTTTACATGAATGATTAATTTCATTCCGTTGTTTCACTCAATCAAGCTCCATGATCATAATGATTCAAGGACCTTTTAGCCTGAGCGTTTCCTAACATTACTTTCAGGCAGTATTAGAGATCCTAGAAGAGTTAAGAAAAATCTACCATAACTCCATAAACATACAGAGACAGAAACCATTTGAAGAATGCTACCGAAAAACATTATAATGTAAAATATGCGCAAGAAGGATAGGTGGCAAAAGATTTCTTAACATTGAATGATTTATCTTCACCATATTATCGGAACCTAATTACATATGCATACATAGTAAACCCAATGTCTGGTCTTCACCCATGAATTCCTGCTGATATTAGCACAGATCAAATAAATTGGGGGCCAGTACCAAGGAGAAATTCAAACCTAGACATTCACTTGTGTGTGACGCCGAAACAGGACCCTCAAAAGAACTCTACCAATCAAAGTTTTTAGTCATCCATTATTCCCAAGAATTGAAAATTAAAGCTGCCAGGGTGTGGGACAAAAACTAATAACACTAATACTCCACTGTTTAGGATGTAAGACAACAGTAATTTAGACGCACAAAACTCCCATCAATGTGTGGCCTCCACTACCACTATAGAGGCCTAACAAGTGAAATTTAATACAAATTGCAAAGATTCGAGCTTCAATCTCCTGCTATGATACCATGTTAAGAAATTTCAGTTAAACACAAGTACAGCTTCAGCTTCAATACCCATCATTTTATTGCATTCCCAAACAGCAACAAAAATGAGCCAAAAACAATGTGTTTCTGAGTGAAAATTTTCGGAAATTCTGATACAAAGTAGAAATGCTGCATCTAAAATCACTCGTAGTGGGCACGATCCCTGAATTTCAACCTAAATTCATTCAAAGACTTGGCACAAAATTGAAGAATGAACACAAGATTAGACAGCTCCATTTCATAATAAAATTCCCAATTTGATTGCAAAATAAAGGTTTCTTGTAGGCAAATACGAAATTCCAGACATTTTACTCGGAATATAAAACGGCATCGTTTCGTATAGTTTGAGGAGAGAGAGAGAGAGAGAGAGAGAGAGAGAGAGGACCTTAGGGTTAGTGACGGAGGAGTTCTTGCGGATCTCGGAGGCGACGACGGAGCGGAGGTGAGAGGGAGCAACGACGTCGTCTAGGTTGTAGATATCCATGATGGTAGGTATGGATCTGCAGGCGGCCCTGAAGAAATCGAAGACTCGGTGCCTGGCTTCTTCCAGAGACACCGAGTTGGGCGGCACCTTCACGGCGCGTTGAATAAACGACATTTTTCCTCAACTCACACTCACTGAGTTCTGTCTCGCACTACTCTCCGAGATGCAGGCTATTGGGGAAGGTTATCATGTGGTGAACACGAGCCGAACGGTGTCGTTTCAAACTTTCAGCTGCTTTTTGTTTGTATGTATTTTTCTTTTTTCTTTTTTCTTTGGATAATTTTATTGGCACCCCAAAATTTGCTCTTTACACCCCACTGAATTTTAGTAAAATTTAAAATTACTCACTACATCTCATTTTTCTTCCTAAATTGCCCTCATGAATCTCATTCCTTAACTTACCTATGTAAATCCCACCGAAATAATTACCTTGTTTTAATGGTAATCCACCGAATTTGTTTCTGTTTTTCATTAGTAGTCCACCGAATTTGTTTCAGTTTTTTAGTGGTAATCTACCGAATTTATTTCCATTTTTCAGTGGTAGTATACTGAATTCGTTTCTTGTTCCAGTAAATTCGTTTCTTGTTTCAGTGATCATCTATCGAATTCGTTACTAAGTTTGTACTTAATATTGATTTTTAGATATGAAGATGACTTGCAGAGGTGCTACTGAGGCTTCATCATCTCGACCTAATAGACAACATCCCACAACCTCAACGAGGAGACATAAAGCGATGAGGTTAACCCCTCAAAAAGACTAGCCACAGTATGGTCCCCCAAACCACTTTGACGATACTACAGAGGTTGAAGATGTAGCTGCTACTCATGATAGTAATGTTGAAGCAGAGGTTGAAGATGTAGTTGTTACTCATGATAGTAATGTTGAGGTAGATATTGAGCCTACTGAGCCATCTCTAGTAGGTCCCATTGATCTATCTTTACTTACGAGTTTTAAAACTCACATAGCAACTGCAATTTGGAATAACCAGGTAAGTCGTTTTACTGTAACAATAGAAAACATAATAAAAGTCTGGTTCATGGTAATTAACCTAAATACTTTTTTTTGCATTTAACTAGGAATGTATCACGCCCCAACTTACGGATTCACGAAACTTTGGATTAAGACGTGATTCACATCTTAATTATAGAATTTAATAAAAACTATAATTAAAATGTGAAGAAACATTTAAAGAAATAAAATAAATATTTCACATAAAATATTTAGCGGAAACGACAACATTTGAAATCTTAAAATTTTTACATTATTTTACAAATTACAACTACTCAAGAGTTCACTAAAAGAGTAGATCATTATTCATCCACAATATATGTACATAATACACTCTATAGATATGCCAAAATCTTCACAAGCTTTAGATTTCAGGTTTAATACCTATATATCTCACAACAATGTAATAACCATTTAAAATATCATCAAACTGTAATACCATGCATAAAATAATGCTCACGAAATTTAATTTAATTAATCTCTGTAAAAAGCCCCCAAGAAACCCCTACCTTGACACCAAAACTTTTGCTAGAAATGTAAAGTGTTTCTCAAATTTCCACCGCATTCACAAACTCAGTCTCCCACTCATTTTCTTAACAATTCTACTTCTCTCTCTCTCTCTCTCTCTCTCTCTCTCTCTCTCTCTCTCTCTCTCTCTCTCTCTCTCTCTCATTTCTTATTCTCATTTCAATTGTAGAATGCCCTATTTATATTAAGGGAAAGTCAATTGCTACCAACTTATGGTGGCTAAAAAATAGCATGTTATCGATTTGGCATGATATCAACAAGATAAGGTTGCCAGCAACCCGAAATTATGGCATGCAGGTGTCTCATGCTATGCAAGGTAAATAGATGAACTCAAGGTGATAATGCATGTAATGAGACTGCTAGGTATAAAATGTAATAGCAGGAGGTGTTGCAAATGCAATCGGATTACTTCACTTTTGAACTTGGCCATTTAACATGCATGAAGTGGATGACACATGGATAACAAACTTCTTTATATATTGAGTAATGCTACATTTACCACATTTATATCCCACATTTTCATACCACCTTATGTGGCAGATGAAGTGGACAATCACATCAATTAAAAAGTGTCAATAAATCATAAAAGATAAGAAAACTTTAAATTAATTTTAATTGATGTGTTGTCCACCTCATCTGCCACATAAGATGGTATGAGAATGTGGTATACAAATGTGGTAAGAGTAGCATTATTCTTATATATTTGTTTAATAATCAAAGAAACTAAATATTATCATAACCATAGAAATGTATAAGTATTATTATAATAGTATTCATAATAATTAATATAAAAATATAGCAACAATATTTACATATACGTATCAAAATAATTACACACATAAATATAACCAATATATATAATCAATTAAAATATATAACTAAAAATGTAGTAAAATATTTAATTCTCAAATTATTAATACATACAGGTTTTCACAAAGAAATTTTTTTTGTCAATCCTTTACTTGGAGGAGTTTGTCCAAGTTAACTTGCTCAAAAATATAAAAATAGATTTTTAGCTATTTAATATACAGGAGGTGAATAACACAATTCTAACAATTGAATATTATTATAATTATACAATTATATAAGTTAAATAATCAAGAAATATCTAAGGGTACCCATTTAGAAAAAAACAAATAATAAATATATAATTTATAGTTATTTCAAATGAACATATATATATATATTCACTAAATACAAATAATTATTACAATAGTATTGTAAACGTAAAATAATGCATATAATATATATATATATATATATATATTTAATCCTCTCTTTTTTAATAAAAACTTTTAAGAATACGGATTCTCACAGAACATGAGCCCCTTAGGTGCATATCGAAGACATCTACCATTCATGAATAGAATTGGTGGGCTAATCCAAATAATGGTATATTCAAATGGTACATTCAAAGGTCTGGATTAGAGCAACTTATTAGGTGTTCTTATCGGAATGCAGATAAGATTGTTGTATTTACATTCATTGAGAGGTGGCATCCCGAAACGAACATCTTTCACATGCCTTTTGGTGAGATGACCATCACATTGGATGATGTGTCATCGATTTTAAAGGTGTCACCATGTTTTTGTTCCTTCAATGGGAGTAAGGTCAAAATAGCTTACAATAAATTTGTGGTCAACAATAAGTTACTGAAAAAATAAATATATTTCGGTTCGTTGCCACTAAATTGTATGTAAAAATTCGGTAATCTACCATTCATGAATAGAATTGGTGGGCTAATCCAAATAATGGTATATTCAAATGGTACATTCAAATGTCTGGATTAGAGCAACTTATTAGGTGTTCTTATCGGAATGCAGATAAGATTGTTGTATTTACATTCATTGAGAGGTGGCATCCCGAAACGAACATCTTTCACATGCCTTTTGGTGAGATGACCATCACATTGGATGATGTGTCATCGATTTTAAAGGTGTCACCATGTTTTTGTTCCTTCAATGGGAGTAAGGTCAAAATAGCTTACAATAAATTTGTGGTCAACAATAAGTTACTGAAAAAATAAATATATTTCGGTTCGTTGCCACTAAATTGTATGTAAAAATTCGGTAATCTACCATTCATGAATAGAATTGGTGGGCTAATCCAAATAATGGTATATTCAAATGGTACATTCAAAGGTCTGGATTAGAGCAACTTATTAGGTGTTCTTATCGGAATGCAGATAAGATTATTGTATTTACATTCATTGAGAGGTGGCATCCCGAAACGAACATCTTTCACATGCCTTTTGGTGAGATGACCATCACATTGGATGATGTGTCATCGATTTTAAAGGTGTCACCATGTTTTTGTTCCTTCAATGGGAGTAAGGTCAAAATAGCTTACAATAAATTTGTGGTCAACAATAAGTTACTGAAAAAATAAATATATTTCGGTTCGTTGCCACTAAATTGTATGTAAAAATTCGGTAATACACCACCGAACACCGTTTCATGTTACGGTGGATCTCCACTGCATCTTAAGTTAACGGCAGATCAAACACAATCGAAATAGGTGCAATGTTTTGATGGCATCTAGCCAAATTTATCTATCGTGTTTGGTACTGGTGTGCTGAACGCAACTATCGACCATCATAAAATCTTAAACTTGAAAAACGCCAAAAAATAAACTCATACCTCATTCGAAGCCTCTCTAACTTCAGTCTCACACTTCATGAATAAATACAAGATATTTTTTCACCAATATAAGCGTATAAACCTCGTTACGGTTATAGGAACATGATGGTTTGAGAAAAAAGTCAAACTAGGGTTGCAGGAACATATGTGGGGGGTGTAGTGAGCAAATTTAATTTTATTTTAAATATTTTTGTCCTTAATGGTAATTATGTACAAGGGTAAAATAGGTTATTCATGTTTAAAATTAGTATGAGGTGCTAATAAAATCACCCTCTTGTTTTCTTATCCGCTTTATAATTTGTAAATTAAATAAGTTTATTCTGCTAAACCAAAAAAATAAATAAAAATAGTATGTATAAAAATTAATGATCCATTACTATTACGAATCAATACTCAAATGTCATGTGATTGCCCCTGAATCAATGATCTATATACTATTAAGGAAATGGAAAGTTTTTTTTTTTTTTTTTTTTTTTTTTTTTTTTTTTTTGGCGCAAAGAGATATAGAAGTATTTGAGACACAACATGTGGTACATGCAAAAACCATAGAAGAAAGACAGGAGCGCGTTATTTGAAACTGCTAGAACTTATATGAGTATTCTTAAAGTTCATGAGACAAGTTTGCCACTAGTAAGAGCATTTTCACTCATTTGCTATAGCAAAGGCAAGGGTTACTATTCACATGAATAGTACCTGCCCATCAATTTTTTTGTTGGTTTTCCACCCATTGTCATGGCAACCCAAGGGCAATCACTATTCACATGAGATATGAGGAGAGGAATTTGTATAGAGTTTTGGTGTGGGAAGTAAAGAATATAGCTAGATATTTATTTTAAAAAAAATTCTGAAATTTTTGGTTTCTTTTTTCCTTCAATTTTTTATATATTTAAATTAGCTGCTGATGTCACAATGACTTCAACATTAGGTTAGCTTGCCCA